TGCAAGTTCCACTTCCGACCTCATTGCGTTTCGGAGACTGTCCGCGACTTCGGCCACATGTCTTGAAATTGTTGTAGCGGCAGGGAGGATAGTCGCAACGTCAACGTTCCCGAAATTGGCGCCAATTTTGGCGTACATGTGAACACATGCCGTGATTACTTTGCTTCGGCTTTTTGAGGATAGGTGGGATGCCCTAACCTGGAGGATGGAGGTGATGGGTATTGTAGGCTGAACGGGTTTGCACCGGTGTCGGCTAAGGTGCGATCAACGTTACTAAACCACTCAGTTGGGAAACTGCCATAGAGGCTGCTCTGAAAAAGTGGCCCCGATCTGTCCTCGAGAACCGAGCTAATGGCGAACACAATGCCGCCATTTCTCCCGCAGCGGCCACTCGAAAAGCTGCACGTTACTTCTATTTTGGCTTTAATCGGGAATTTTTGGCGCCGAAACAGATACAGCGGAAGAGGTTACACAAGTGCCACCCCCGTCTCCCCAGCGGACGCGCCGCGCCTTACTACCGAAGTTAAAATGCACCGTCGGAACGCGCTACCTGAAAGCACCGCTGAGGCATGGTTGTATAAAAACAATATTAATTGTGCCACAAACCTTGTAAACTGAAGATTTTAAAAACATCACGCGCCCATCATTTTGTACTAAACTCCAATAAATGTCATAAAAAAAGTCTCTTTTCCGTTTTGTGTTTACGCAAAAAAAAACATGTCTTCTAAAAGCTCAAGGTGACCACAGTACAGACAAATGATAAAGTGTGGCGCTGTTGTCGTATTTAGGTCGGTCTCGGTGGACGCCAGCGGCCCACATTTCGACGGCGAGTTTCCCAACTGAGTGTATCAGTAACGTTGGGTGCGATGTATCGGTCTTGCCACCGCTGTACGTCCTAAAGCCTCCGCACAGATTACATTGGGCAAATTCGTGTGGTCCCGACGATTCTGCATCCCCCCACCTAGAGAACGTCTTCCACACATTGCTCTTCTCGCTGGTTTCGCTCGAAAGCGTTAGCACACCGGACGATAACTGCTTTTTCAACTCCGAGTCTCTTTTTGCACTTGCATCTTCCACCTGCACGCTGCTGCGCTGCCGGATCGAGAATGTCGTCGTCCAAGCCGCGAACATGAGAAATACTAACAAAGTACAAAAATATTTATGCAGGGTTTATTGTCTACAGATGTTGTGAGCCTTTCCCCCTTGGAGCTTGCGCCGACCAGCTCCACCGCTGGCCGCTGGCGTATTGAGTTGATGGAATGGCTTCCAATTATTTTTTTTCTCCCAGCTTTTTTGTTTTCTCTACAAGTGTTTCCGCCCCACAGAAACCACTACACGTTGTACTGGCTTATGTGCAGACGGTTTGGTTAATGTATAAAAGCTTGATTCGGAATAAGGGGAAACAAAAAAAATAAAAAAAAAAACGCATCTCACGTGGTGAAGGATGTTGATTGGGGCGAAGCTCTGGTGGTGCTTGTCTGCGTAGACGCTGAGCCGCAGCATGCCGAGCCTTTCGTTCGTTTTCACCCATGTCACGCTGCGGTCAAATGCTCAAATGCGTATATAACCACGTTCCATAACACACATTCTCTTTCTGACATGGATGAAAACGAACGAAAGGCTCGGCATGCTGCGGCTCACCGTCTATACGCAGACAAGCACCACCATAGCTTCGCCCCAATCAACATCATTCACCACGTGGAGATGCGGTTGTATTTTTTTTTTTTCCCTACACGAGCACGGGAGCACGTGCTCACGTGCTCGTGAGCACGAGCACCCGACGCCGGACATCGGACGGGCATACGGACGTGGCTAGCCTCTAAGGAGCTTCGCCACTAAAACTGAAGGCCGGTTAACTGTGGCGCCCATGCACAGCTGCTGCACAGCGTCTATAAGCAGTGTGACCCCGGCTGTAATCCGTATTCAGTAAAACTTTATCTTCTTTGACGCCAAGGAAGAGGATGCCAGTCCAACACACAAGAAAGAGGAAAAGTAAAGGACAAGGCAACTGGAGGAAAGGCAAATGACAACAACAAGAAGAGTGGTTATTTGGGCGAATTGGTTTGACATGTTATGCAATCTTGTGCGCAGCAAGGACGAGGACAAAAAGGAGAACCTAGGACACGACAAGGCGCCTTGTTGTGTCCTGTTCTCCCTTTTGTCCTCGTACTTGCTGCGCACAAGATTGCATAAGAGACAAGGACCAGGAGAGAATACTAGGGAAACTAAAATAGAAGCCACGAGGAGGAAAATAAAGGAGAATAACCTTGAGGTCTACGCACTATCCTTCAATTAGAGCCAATCAGAGCTCGGCTTTCTGACGTCACCATAACCCCTACAAAAGAAGCAGATGAACTTGCGCTCCGCGTTGATTATGACGGCGGATGCACAAGGAGTTCGGGTTTCCTTGGGATTATGAAGGCAGAACGTCTAAAATAAACTAATAACACGCGAAACTAAGTTCTTGGTAGGGAATGTAAACATCGAGAAAGAGAGAAAGAAGGAGAGAGAGAGAGAAAGGGAGCCAGAATAATGCGGTGTGTGAATGTTTACTTTCGATAAAACTTAAGTTTGCCCGAAGTATTTCAACTGCATTTCTACTCTCCCTCAATGTAGTAACAGAGTGTGCAACGGATAACAAATGTTTAGTGGTGCTGAAAAACGGAAACACGAAGAGCCGGAATTGTGAAACGCGGTGTCCGAACACCGCCCTCGTTTTTAGAAACTGTGCTTTAACAAATGAACTCACTCTAGACATTTGGAACAGTCATTTCTGCTGGCATGCGCTACTTTCTTTGTGCGGTGGTACCTAGGCCGACTGATTTTAGCGTCATTTTGTGTACTATATACTTATAGCCGACTCCCACTAGAGCGACAAACAGAAACAGCCGTAACCCGATAAGCTGCAAGCGCGTGCAGCGTGCACGCGAAGGTACCTTTGGCCAAAGGCAAATCCAGAACTCCGTTTTTTATTATTTTTTTTTTTTTTGGGGGGGGGGGGAAGTGGGATTTGTAAAGACGCTATTCTCTCATTCTTTCGTGTGCACTGGGGGGTCCACTCGTGTCAAATTTCCCTCCGAGAAGGGGAGGGGGGGGTCAACCTTTTTTGGGGGCAGTGGCGTACCAACTTATTTTTGAGTGGGGGGGGGGGGGGGGGCAAACCAACCCCCCCCCCCCCCCCGAAAGGCCCGGTGCCCTTCCCCTTGGCACTCTTTTGTAGTAACGCGTTACTAGTAACGCGTTACCGTAATTTCGTTACTTTTTTGGTAACTTGTAACTGTAACGAGTTACTTTTTTAATATGTAACTTGTAACTGTAGTTCTATTACTTTTTTCTGAGGTAACGATGAAAGTAACGACGTTACTTTGGCCGTTACTTTCCAGTGTTTTATGAATAATAAATATATCGCTGATCAAATACCCCCTCCCCCCCCCCCAGTTTAGATTTTCCTTCCACTTTTCAAATCGTCTATTCCGACATTTCGAGTGTCAAGTTGGCCTTGCACAAACTTGTGAATACGTTCCTTCTCACGGGTCACGACCCGAATATAGCCACGTGTAGATTTCATGAAAACATCCTAGTTATCTTTACGCACGCGATTGTACTTCGTGACTGAACTATTGCATCTTAGTGTCTTGAAGAACTATCTATGTTGTGTTTTTTCTTTTTTCTGTGAAAACACTTTTTAATCGGGTGAATCAACCGTGAAACAACAATACACGCGGAGGGCACTGCGCATGTTTCGTATTTTGATTTGCGCCACTACTCTGGCGTAGCAATTTTCAAACACTAATTTCGAGAAGCAACTTCTGCTAAGTTACAATATGAAGTAAAAAGCGTACTGTTTAATTTTATGCAATAAAACTTGGTGAGGGGCGTTTTCTAGTTTTTCCTATTTTTTTGTTTTATAGAAAAGTAACTGAAAAGTAACGTCGTTACTTCTTAAAAGTAACTGTAACTGTAACGAGTTACTCTTTTGTTACGGTAACTGTAACGGTAACTTCGCTACTTTTTTTTTAAGTAACTGTAACTGTAACGAGTTACTTTTTTAAAGTAACTTACCCAAGACGGGGCCCTTGGTACCCCTTGGGCGCCGCCAGCCAGTGTTTGCCCTGCCCAGTGCGCCATGGCGGCTGTTTCAGCGGGGGAGGGGGGGGGGGGGGGTAAAGCACATGCCTTGCCCTCCCCCCCTCTGAGAACTGGAGGGTAGGGCAAGCGCCCCCTTACCCCCCACCCCGGTTAATTAATACGCCCATGTTTGGGGGGTGGGGGGCGCCTCCATCGCACCCCCCCCCCCCCCGCCCCCCTTGGATCCGCCTCTACTTTTGGCAGGCTTGCAGCCTCTCAGTGCTCGTGAAAGAAGCACTGTGACTCCAAGCCTGCCAAAGATATCCTTCGCGTGCACACTGCAGATGTTTAAGACTTTTTCGGCGGCAGTTGTTTCATCGTGAAAACCCGGGAGGAGGGCGGGGAGGGGGGGGGGGGGGGGGGGGGAGTCGCGACAGGATATTTTATATTTTTGATCGATCGCAGCAGATTTTGGGGAGCACTGGGGGGCTATGCCTATCAAGTGACTTTAGGCTATGCAAGACAGCGGGACGAGGCGGGACGAAAGGACAGAGACATCGCCCCCTGCTGCGATTGGTCAGCGCCACGCCGCTGACCACTCGCAGCAGGCGTCGATGTCCCGGACCCCCGGTCCCTTCGTCTCGCCATCTTGCGTAGACCCCCTGCTAAGCTGCGAGACAAAAAATATTCTATTTCTCCACTTCATACTTCGCGCCACAAACTTTCGCCCGTGTTGCCATCAAGCTGTTCAAACGTGTTTAAAAACCTCCAAATGCCTCCAGTCAGCAAAAATACTTTGACACCTTTAGTCGCTTTTATAAATCCTAAATTCTTTTATTTTACCTATTTATATGTTTACAACTGATATCTAATTAAACGCAAATCATGATTTTTTTTCTTCGTAAACGCAAAGCTTTGCGAGCTCGTTGTTTACTCCAAACCCCACGGCCATCGCGACCCAAAAGAGAGTTCATCTTGTCCACTTTTGTTTGGCTCTGGTTTGGCTCAGTTGGCTCTGCGATCGTACCTCTAGTCCGCCTGAACAGAATGTAAAGAAACGTCAGGGACTAGTAAGTAAACTTAGTCTTTATCCGTAATCCTCACTGAAATGTCCAACTACCGGCACGTTCACTCTATACTTACCAATAACCGGGGGCATTGTGAACCGGGTGCTTGGCTTGGCGAGTGAATTGCTGCTTATTTGTCTTTTGCTCTAATTTATATTAAAACCAGAGAGGCTGGGCAGTACAGCCAGCCGGTAGGCCCGATTCCTCCACGAAATCTTACACCGGAACTTTTTCTTTTATTTCGTACGTAGAAGGATTACCATGTTCCACAAGGGGGGCGAAGGCCGACCGAGAGGCTTCGGCTTCGGGAGCTTCGCCGTTTCTCAGAAGAAACCCGACGTTCAGCTCGGTCAGAGCGCCTTGCCCGAAAGTGCTCCGGTGCCCGTTCTACCCGTGGTCAACAAGAGGGGCTACACTGGCCTGAGCACCATCACCCAGAACGCGCTGGACATCAATTATGGCAACCTCCGCAAGAGGCCCAAGACCGAGGAAGAGTAAGCGTACTCCGATCGCTGGCTCGCTCGAAACGCCAGCGTTCTGTGTTTCGCAGGAGAGTTCGTTTTTTATTGGATGGACCCGAGTGCACTGTCAAGTTTCCGGATGCATGCATTCGTTTCACACTACCCGACTTTTCGTTCTACGCATGCTGTATATAACACTTAAAATTGAAAGAATAAAACGCGGAGGACAAGCACAGGATAATGACGTTCTTTTAAAGAACGTCGTCGTGCTGCGCTTGTCCTCCGCGTTTTATTCTTACGATTCTAAGTATTCCTTTTCAACTCGCTCGCTTTTACCTGACCTGTAAATAACAGCTGCCGCGAAGATGTCAGATCCAAGTTCCGTGAGCACCGTTGAACACGACAGCCATACCGAAGGCAAAATCGAATCCAATAATTGATTACCGGAACCATTTGCACTCCCTGGTAATGGTTTGTTTAATATGTGTAGGTTTCGGGTTTGCTTTATGTGCTTTATGCACCAAAATTTGGGCTACTCATCCCTAAGTGGCACAAAATGTACAATGAAAGTACTTTTGGAGTAGCCAGGAAGCCTGCCCCTTGCACTTTTCTTACGTGTTGGTAGATGGCACCAAAACGAGGGGACCTGTTTTTGCCAAACGTTATCTGGACACTTTGTTTAATCGAGTGTCGTCGCCTAAGTGCGTTTCTTACACCGTGGACAGCACCGCTAGCTCTTATCTGTCCACCTGTGTACTTAGCATTCCCGTTTCTCTCGTGGGGCAGGTACTTTGAGCAGGACGAAGAGGACCACAGGGTGGGGCAGCTGGCGTACATCCCGGCCCCTGGAAGCCCCACCTGGGACGAACAGCAGAGAAAGGACTGCTCGGATGCCTCGTCCAGTGACGAGGACCCTCTCGACGCCTATATGGCCAACATCGAGGTGCGTGGCTTCGGCAGTGAGCCCCCCGAAAGGGACAGCGATAGCCTTTATGGCACATAGTGACACACACTTTTGTGCATATCCACTCTTTATTTACTCGATCTCGCACATTGCAGCCTTGTAGTCATTTAAAGTATGTAGGAAAGCGAACGCGTGAATTAAGGGTCCTACCTAAGAGAAAATCTTGACAGCTACTGTTAGGAGCGGTGAGTTGTTTTACATTTGACGGTATGCGCAATGGTGGAAATACTGTGCCATTTGTGTCAAATTGCACCGTGAAGGAAAGTCTACATCTCTCGTCCAAATCCTTTTTTTTTTGCTAAGATTGAGTGGTGCCAAGATGGGCTCGAACATATAAAAAAAATATATTTTTATCATTGGTCGATACTAATGTTCTGAGAAATAGGAGGAAAGGAATATAATAGAATATGTATTTCACAGCGTCTCTACTAACCGTAATGGCCTCGAGTTCGACCTAGAGGTGGCGCAACTGTCTATGCACTGCAGTTCATACTGTCATTCATTAATCGGCATCTTGTTACCATGGTTTTATCATCTATGCACAACTAAGCAGCATGTTCTGTGTTCGAGGAAATCAAGCCTGCCGTGCAACTGATGCTAACGAAAGTTTTTACAAAGGTGGGAAGGCAAAGTTGTCATTGCCTTTCAGTTCAACAGGCCAACACACGAATATTGGCATAATATTTGCAGTGGCATGGAGGAAAATGAAGTGTGGGCCTGTGCTTCGAAGGTTTTTCTGCTCCAAAAGGCGCTCCAAAATGATTCCCACCAATCGCATCACTGTTTGCTTCATTCTTGTTTGTTTTTAACTATATACATGTGTAAGAAATTTGATTTTAGTCGCACTGCTTGTGGGAAAAGTTCAGCTGCCTTTTTTCGTTTTTTTACGAGCATCCATTGTTTTTGTTTTTTTTATCTACTTTTTAATTTTAACTTTTGAATACATCGTTAGTGATAATCACGCCCTCAGGTTTAAAGGGTTGTCTGGAACTTGTGTCACAAAATTTGTGATAGCCATAATTTATGTAAAAATTGTTTCTAAATTTCCTGTGTTTTTTGCTGTGTTGTTGTTTTTGTGTCCTGTAGGTGGTTAAGAATTGAACAAACTGTTCACTGCAGCTTTTTCCCTTGATTGAAACCATCAAACTAGGGTGGGAAATGAACTCATTATTATCATTATCACCTTTCAGAAAAAGCTGCAGAAGGACAACGGAAAGCATGGCACAAAGAAAGGAAAATCTCCAGTCAAGGAAACAAAGATCAAAGAAGTGAAGTAAGTGTGTTTGGCTATTGTTTTTCCTACCACTGGACTCTTTTTTTTTTTTCTTAAATTGTCAAGGAAGTTGTTTATTCCTTCTCAGTATGGAAAAAGAAAGAGGGTCTGAGCTTGGGCATAGAAAACTCAGTTCTGCAGGCCACACATGATCTCTCAGAATATCTTTTGCAGCAAATGCCAGCTCTATAGAACTCTGTGTCACCCTTAGCTTGCATTCACTATTGGCATGAAGCCAGCCCTTATAATGTGCAATATCGGTTGCCGTTTGTAGCATGTCAAAATGAACAGCTATCGAGTGTTTGCTTTCTCAAATACCTCGTTTTCCAGTGTATACCGTAAAATTTCATATCAACGTCCTCCCCCGCGAGATTGCCCATTTCCTCTTTTGGCTGATTATCCATAACATAAAAATTCTGAAATAACGCCCACTTTCCCATTGAATATCACGTAATGTCTGATGGCAATCACATCAACTGCATAAGGTGCGGTCCCGATCCATAGTTTGTAGCGGGTATCCGCGTTTTTCGTCCTCCATTTGGGTGCAATATCTGCTTTTATGATACGCGAGTTTGTAGCGGTTTCTTGCGTGTTTATTGCACCGTGAATCGTGGATCTTTTGCATCCACAGTTTGTGGTATTTGTTCCCTTAACATGTGAGTTGGTAAAGGGTTCCCTCGTTTTGTGTCCACGACCTGCACATGCAATATCGGTTCCCGTGTCCCCCTGAGTTTGTCACGGGTTTGTCATGTGTTTATCGCACTGTGAAGTGCAAATCTTCTGGGTCTGCGGTAATCGTACCGGTGACACGGGAGTTTGTGGTGAATTCCCCTGTCTTTATTACACTGTGGAACACAAATTTGCCCTGCTTGCGATCTGTGGTATCGGTTTCCATTGCATGTGGTTTATAGCAAGTGTTTTTCTAATTTTTTATAAAATTTTGCTGGCGCATTTTAAGGATGGTTTTCCCCATATTTTTCAGCATTTATCCTAATTTTGTGTGGACACTCTCGCAGGACTTTACCCTAAGTCGCGGTTTTCTTACAAAATGTCTGTCAAAGTTCTTATACGACGGTTCGACTCGTGTGCATTTGTTTTCTTAGAATATGAATCTCAGCCATGCAAATTCGCTGCGGGGATCATATTTCTCGTTCGATTCGTCAACGAGAAAATTGAAACTGGCTCCTGCATGTATCGCAATCACAATACACATACGTAGTCTTCTCAATGCAGTTTCCCGGTGCCGACTGTACAAATGTGTAAGTGTGACTTAAGTACCCACTTTTTTTTGTGATACCTCCCATTTATGGGGGGGTGCGAATTATAGACTGAAAATGCGGTACTAAGCCGCTTCATATTGCCCCTTAACCATAAAAAGTCGCATGGAACGGAATAGTTTGTCACTATTGTCGTACTGACGCACCCTAACCCCGTTCTCAGGGGCGTTCGGGACGACATCGAGAACGAGGACGACGAAGAATCCTACTACCGCTACGTGGAGGAGAATCCAAACGCCGGAGCCGACAAGGACGACAGCGACCTCGAGCTGGAGTACGACGAGGACGGCAATCCGATTGCACCCGTCAAGTCCAAGGTGGGTTCAGCATTGCCCCGAGAGGGCTGTGAGTTACCACTCGAGAAACTTACCTTAACGGCAACAGGAGTCAGGCCGACGGTCCTCTGCTGAAGTCTGTTGGAGATTAGGGAGAACTTTGTTTCATTGGCACCAGTCTTGGAACAAAAAGGTGCCGACTGACGGCGCTCTCTTTGGTGGACGTCGGGAAGCCGACGGATTCGAACCAAGTGGCACGGCGATGCCATTCTCTCTTGGGAGCTCAAAGGGGGTAGGCCGGAGCCTGACCTGCAGTTTGCGCGTGGCAACAGGCCATAGGCTCGTGTCCTTTCGAGCCATCTAATCGCAACGACGTATTGTGTTTTTTAGGTTTTATATTGCAACATTTGAAGCAGAAACCATAGTTATCTTACGATATGAAACTTTATTACGAAGCATGGTTTTTCAAATTTTACGGCTTACCGAATTTCCTTGGCCATCTCTGCCCCACGCTAAAGTGCACTCCCCTTTCAAATTCAGCGCCCTAGAATGCACTTGTTCTTTTCCAGGGCTATGTGCACCTGCACTTCTTTATTGCATCTGTACAAAGACCAGGAGGGTGTTCCTCGGCTGTCATTAAAAGGGGGACATTACCCAGAAAAAAAAACTTAAACATAAAAAGTTGATCTTGCCTTATTTACATCCACCAACATCTAGAGAGTATTCCGAGAAAGGTGCATGAGTTAACACTGAATAGTTACTTTTTATTAATTATTTTCAGTCCACCGATGCTAAAATAAAGGTAGCGGTTGGAGCACTTTGAAGGCATTTTTCTCCGTTCCACTTTTTGGCATAAATTTCATTTTAGGAAACTATTGATTGGTAATGGGACCAAAGAAAAGACCCACTCATTGTTTTTCCTGACTGGATTTTTATGGGCAATGCAACTGTGGAATTGTTTTTGACTTCGTGGGTGTCTTTTATAAAAGATGTAAAGATTTTGTCGCCGACATAAAAGGCAAAAATTTTATTTGATTTTTCACCGCGGCGTTAGCATAAAATACATCACTTTTTGGAAGTTCCATTTTCACAGTTGCACTCTCCAGGTATTCTGCTGCAGATATTGTGAAGAAAAACGTTGGGCATTACATTAGTTTTCTAACAATAGTTTTCCTAAACAAAGTCAGTGTGTTCCTGATAAAAACAACTATAATTTCTCTTAGGGTTCATGTACAAAGGTGAAACTTTGCACTGAATTCTGCCTCGCATCCTCCTGGTATAAAGCGTATTGTGTCACCTCCAGAACAGAGGGCAGGCTGCACCAGCAACTTTTTTATTTTTCAATTAAAATTTTTTGTTTGTTTTACCTAATGGTTAACACACGAAGAAGCAAACAAAAAGACAGACATTTCAACACCTATGCAGGTGACATCCTCAGTATACACTGACACAAGTCAGGTGAGAGGCCAGGCCTCTCACCTGATTTGTGTACTGAAGATGCCACCTGCTGTATACACTTTTTCGAGTCACTGGGTCATGGGCACTAGTGTGGCGTCTGGTATTCCACAGAAGAAAACTACTACGCATTCTGAGAAGGCGTTCCACAATTCACTAGACAAAAATGGCAGCGTACAAAAGGCAATTTTATTTTTTCTTCATTCATTTTATTTTATTTTATAGCATTATTTCACAATATTGTACAATCAGTGGTTGGACCCATAGCCAAAGGCTAATTTGGGGTCCAATAGCAAAATAGGTTTTTGAGTGCGATGGGCAATATGTCTGACATAAGGTTAAATTAACATAGCATAATCGATAGCTCTACATATTACAAATCCGACACACAGCATGGCAAATTTCTGACCTAAACTTTCATATTGCAACTCGAGAAAAACTTTTTTTTTAAGGGCAATTGTTCAATTCTAAAGATTGACAAAGATCAAAACTGAAACTTTGGCTGCATCTGGCAACGTTGGCCTCGGGCCACCAAGAACATTGCTTGCACGTGGTATGAGATGTCACGTGAACCTCTACGCAACAACGGGCGGGCGTGTGCCGGATGCAAGTGTTGTCTGCACCGCACTCCTCACCACGTTTTGGCCTCTGCGACATTCGATGACGTCTGCACACGTAGTGTCTGTAGTGTGAACGAAACTCCGAGAGACAATAATCACTAATGGTGAGCAGAGGTCGGCATTTTAGATCGCCCTCACTCACCCTCACAACCACGCTCACTTAAGCCCCTCACTCACCGTCACCCTCACAGCTACACTCACCTTCAGCTCTCATTCACCCTTATCCTCACAGTCACACTCACCTTCAGCCCTTTACTCAACCTCACTGAACCTCACGGCCCTCACGCCCCCACGCCGCTCACTGCCCTCACGGCCCTCACACCACTCACCGTCATCACGCCCCTCACTCACTCATGGCCCTCACACCCTCACGCACTCGTAGCCCTCATGCCCCTCAAGCACTCGCCGCCCTCACGCACTCATACCCCTCACGTGCCTTAGGCACTCGTGACCCTCATGCCACTCAGGCTTGCTTCAGATGGGGCAAGTTCGCCCAGAAACTTGACGTCGCAACTCCAGCAACACGTGCCGCCCGCGTTCACACGCAGCAAACAATTGCTGCAATTTGCCATCATCATGAAATTTTATTTTTCTTGCACTATCTAAACACACTCTTACGTGCTATAAACGTGTTTGTATGCATTTAAATCTCATTGAGAATACTAATGCATCTTTCTGAAACAGTTTATTTCCAGAAACAATCAATTTCAAACCAGAACTAAGTCTTTTGTTGTCATCATCGCCGGCACGAGGTATCACGTGAAAATATCGCGTCCCCTATTGGATGCAGCCGCTTCAAACGTCTTCGAATTGCTCTGAGTTGCTCGCTTGTTTCGAGCCGAACCCGATCTCAGCAATTCGTGTCGATCTAGGGAAAGCTAGGGAACAACCTGCCACCAACACCAAAGTTGCTGAGAAAGTTGCTCCATCTGAGGGTGGCCCCACGCACTCATCGCCCTCACGCCCCTAATGTACTCATGTCCCTCACACCCCTCACACACTCACCGCCCTCACACCCCTCACGCCACTCACCGCCCTCACACCCCTCACACACTCACCGCCCTCACACCCCTCACGCCACTCACCGCCCTCACACCCCTCACACACTCATGGCCCTCGTACCCCTCACGCACTCATAGCCCTCACGCCACTCACTGCCCTCCCGCCCCTCATGCACTCATGGCCCTCACACCCTCACTGCCCTCACGGCCCTCATACCCCTCACGCACTCGTGGCCCTCACGCCCCTCATGCCCCTCACACACTCACGGCCCTCACTCACCCTCACACTCATTAATTTTCCTGGTTCAGGATCTCACTCACCCTCACCTCACCTGTGAAGATGAGGGTGAGTGAGGGCCCTCATGAGTGAGGTTTGGCGAGGTATGATGGTGAGACGACGACGGCGGTTGTCTCGCGGGAAACGGTGGTAACGGCGGGAGGGCCGGACGGCTCCCAAGAAGCGCGCTGCGCAGGCGCATTACGCCAATCACGTGGGCTCCGCTGAGCGCCTAGAAGAAACGCTGCTGATGTCACTTGTTATGCTTGCCTGGAAAAGTAAAACAAACAAAGGGGTGCTGTGGTGATAACATTTAGCTCAATATTGGCCATGCCCACGCCCTAGACTTGACTGCACTGTTGGTTGCACCTCAATTCGCCCGCTCAAGTCATCCGATTTTGACAACTTAACGAGTTGCAAAGTTTGCTGGAGTGTTTAAGAAACATTTAGACGGAACTAATTTATAATATTTCATGTGCGGTCTTCCTAGGCATTACTGAAGAGGACTGCATTGTTTTTTCGAACAAAAATGAAGCGGAGTTGCTTTTTAAAAACGTTACTTGAATAACCACCGAAAGATAGCCCACTCCTAGTAATCATAGTGTTCAGATCAATGATGACCATGGCATAAATGCTTCCTAGTTTGCTATGGTGGGATATAAGCGAACATTGCTGACTGGGAAGCAGTCATCTTTTCTTCATTGCCCCTCGCCACAATAAAAAGTTTGACAGAGACACAATATCTAAAAATATAATTTTTTAAAACTTTTCTCGATTGCAGACTGAAAGTTAGCCCACTCCTTGTTTTCACCAAATTTTTTTTCGGGTTTAGTTGGGCTACCCTTCGGGATTTTACGGTAAACGTTTTAGTCATGAATTCTCACGGCTTTTGTTTGTTTGTTCTTACTCAGACACAAGGTCTTGGGTAGCGAGGTACAAGGCAGATATGCTTTGCCCTTGGCGAGGCCCCGTTGCCCGCCCACGTTGCTCGGCTGCTGACGGCAACAAAACGTCTTTGCACTCTCGTTCCCCGCAGTACATCGACCCGCTGCCACCGATCGACCACTCTACCATCAGCTACAAGGAGTTTACCAAGAACTTCTACCAGGAGCACGAGGAGATTGCAGCCCTATCCCCGGAGGAAGTGGATGCCCTGAGGGCCACCCTGGGGGTCAAGGTCACCGGCCCGCTTCCCCCCAAACCCGTGACCAGCTTTGCCCACCTGGGCTTTGACGAGCCCATGCTCAGGGCCATACGCAAGGCCGAGTACACCCAGCCATCTCCCATCCAGGCGCAGGTCGGCTACTTTTGAAGCGACAGCCTCACGTGGGAACCCCGCACTGGCCTTGCCCATTCGTGCCGGTGTCGATCGCGCCGGTGTCGATTGCACCGGTGTCGATTGCGCCGGTGTCGATCGCGTTGTTGTCGATCGTGCTGCAGCAAGGCCGCAGGAGAGGGTGTCGACGATGGGGCGTAGCTGTTGGTTTAGATGTCATAGCGTGGGAGAGGGAGGAAGAGGGAAGCAGCTTCTAGCGCCAGGCTTGTACAGTGCTCGTTACAAGTAATCAAATCACTTGTCTTTGATCACTTTTTGGAGTAAGTAGTCGTGGGAGTAATCGATTACCTTTGGAAGTGCTAAAATTACCTGTAGCCTTTGCTATTTTTCCCTCCTTTTTCTAATGGCACGCTTTGTTTGTACGAGTTTGCTGCTTGGAAATCCTGGAACCAAGTGTCCGACAGGAGAATGGTTTACCGACATTTGTGGAGTAAGGAGATAAGTAAGTAGCTAATAATTTGGCGATTCTAAATCAATAATGGACAGTATGAAAGTCCTGATTTGAAACTGAAGTAATCAGAAAAGTGACGGTTACCTCTTTGAGCGACGGCCAGTGAGTTTCCTTTTCAGGTGACCAATCTAATTCAATACTTTTTAACCAATTGTAGTTGTAATCAATGACTTTCTTCGAGTAACGTGTACAAGAGTGGATAGCACTCCCCTCTCCGCCCACCTCCTCTGCTGCATAGGAATGGGAGCAGCGAAGTGGATTAGGTACTGCACGGCAGTGCTGTCGCACCTTGCGATTGACAGAATGTCAAATCCGGGCGACTTTTTTAACACAGAAATAGTTTCAACGGAAGCACAATTTGGATTTGTGTTGCCGTGTGCAGCCACACCGTGCTGTCGTTAGCCTAGTCTAGCGTGTTAGCTTTCTGCTAGACTCGGCGGCAGGTCACGTGACCATACAATGTGCGTCGCGCTGTGCGATGTGGCATTGCATCATGGTGCCGCCCGGCTTGCGGTGTCGGACCGTGGTGTCCTTACATGGCATTCGTGACACGCGATGTGAAGTCGCGGCGTCACGTGATGTGACGCCACGTTACGCCGCGGCGCGACTTTCCGTTGTGGCATCACGTGACGCGATGCTCCGCTTAGAGCCACCGAATGAGCTGCGCGGGGAGTATCGACACTTCTTTCCCCGTTGTTCTTGTGGGTGAGGCCATTTTGGTGCCGAGTGCAGTGCGATCGGAGATTGCTACGGTTAAAAAATGCTACTTCCTTAGCTTTGGATACGGCGAGGAGGACATAATACAGGCCCCTCACTGTCACAAGTTGAATATTTAATAATAAAAAAAATTTTAATGCACTTTTTAGAAGTTGTGGAAATAAGCATATGATTCCAATTAGCAACTTGCTGAGTGTCATTCAAATCCACTGAATTATTAAATATTAGAAAGTCCCGAGGCCCGTGGGAAGCGCGGGGCTGCGTGGAAGCTACTACTCGTGTAACAGGCGCAATGCTGGCTGTACGGAAACGCACGTGGTGATAATATCTGCTTTTCTGCGCCGCCAGCCTCGTGTCTATTGCACGAGTGGGAATGTTTGCTTACCCATGCGCTTTGAGCCTTTCTAGAAATAGCTAATTTAGTGGTTTTGGATGATGCTTGGCAAGTTTCTAACTGAAACCATAGTTTTTTTTCGCGCTAATTAAGTTAAGTAAGAAATTATAGTTAATCATTTGAATTATTGTGACGCTTAGCCCCTATATTATGTCCCCCCAGCCGCACATCTCCCCTGCACAGACCTCGTCGGTGTACCTTTTGCGGCATTTTTAACAGATCTGTTAAAATTAAAATCAAACACCCCGTGCATCTACTTAACGACATGGCAGAAAAAAGATTACTTTAGGCACACAGCCATATCATTCTGTTCATTTGGCACGTGATCGCCGTGCCTGCCTTTGTGCCCTGGATAGGCTCCGAGATCGAGCTCTTAGAAAACGGTTTCAGCGCAAAGTGCCCATACGTGCGCGTGCTTCGCAGGGTGTTCCTGTGGCAATGAGTGGCCGAGACATGATCGGCATCGCCAAGACCGGTTCCGGCAAGACGGCGGCTTTTATCTGGCCCATGCTGACGCACATCATGGACCAGGTGAGAATAGGACCACTCGTACCTGCGGAAAAATTCGTGAGCCAACTGCAATTGAGTTTCTTTGCGACCACTCGAAGGGGGGACGGCATCGCCTTAGAACGGACACGTCTAAACTCTTTTTTATTCCGTCTGCGGGAAGCGATAAGAACACGCTCTTGGAGGGAGTAGTCTCCTTGATTTCCTCTGCATTGTTCTTTAATAACGGGTTACATATGCGCGCTACAAATTGACGCCGGCTTCGTAGACCGTTCGTGCCTTTCGTATGTCTATGGAGTAAATGAAACTTGCATCTGGTACGCCCATGTAAATCTTGTTTGTTTAGGAAGTTATTTGTGTCCATTCGTATCTTCCACCGACAACAATCTGTTTTGTAGTCACTAAAAGGAAGAGACCAGTGGGGAGGCCCTTCGGGTTTCCCACCTTCAGCCCAAGTTCCCCACCTTCGACGACGCTCCGGCGAGGCACCTCGGAAGGCGACATGCACATGCGTGAAGCTGGGCGTCCGATAGGGTTGCCCCGCAGTTCTCGTATCGGCGACCTAGGCGCACTCTCGTAAGCTCCATAAATGAGTCGCACGATAAATGTGGAGATGAACATGGAGTGAGCACGTTCAGTCACGAACCGAGCGAGCGCTGTGTGTTGCATACGGTTTCGTGCAGTTGTAGCTTTTGTACCTTGCCGTCTCTGCCTTTGTTATGTCCCTTGCCGTCTCTGCATACTTTCGGACGTCGAAACGAGGGACGAGTTCCGCCCCATGCCAACTTGCTGACCATATTTTGGCATGACGAATGACACGCCGTTTTAAAGCAGTACGGCTTTCTTTTCTTCCTCTTTTCAGCGAGAATTGGTCGAAGGAGAGGGCCCCATTGGACTCATCCTTGCTCCAACGAGGGAATTGGCCCAGCAGGTGGGGACACACTTTCTGCATTCCATCTTTGGTTCTTTTATTTTTCTATCTTTTTTTTTAGAAAGCCATATAACATAGACTTTGTTATGTATGGCCGGCCTGTAACCGTTTCTGGTTCTCGCTCTTGAGGTGGATACAGAAAACGCACGTGCCGATCGAACACTGATGCAGCGCTCGTCGAATCACGAATTGGACATGTGTGCCAGCTGCACGTTTCCAGTCGGTGTGGGCTACTTTTAGTGCACGCTGGACGAGAGAGCTCTCCACACTTCCAGCGTTCCCGCTGGACCCGGTGCCGGTGCATTCCTTTTGTTCTGCTATCAGTGCGTTTTGTCGAATGTCTTGCAGCACTACACGCTGGGCAAGCTTTTATTAATGCGAACGGCGCACCAACGTCGGTTCTATGTGATAATTAATGATAGACGAGATCCTCCGCTCACCTCGTGTAATGGCTAAAGACCTGCTGTCCCTAGCTTGAGAGGGGGCTAGGGACGTGCTGTCCCTAGCCATCCTCAGTCTAGCCACCTATTGCTGCTACTTCTTTTGTGACGTATCAGTGTCGTCGCTTCGACGCAGATCTACCTGGAGGCCAAGCGGTTTGGTAAGGTGTATGGTGTGGGCGCTATCTGCTGCTTTGGAGGTGGAAGCAAGTGGGAGCAGTCCAAGGCTCTGCAAGAAGGGGCCGAGATTGTCGTAGCCACTCCCGTGAGTCCCCTGTTTCCCGCAACTTTGCTTGCACTGGGTTCCATTGTTGGTGCCTCGGCGGCAGTATTTGTTGCACAGAGTCGCACGACCGTGCCGACCAAGCTCTTTTTCGCATCTGTCCAGCACAAAAAGGGGATGTGTTTTTTTGTGTGGCTCTACCGATTTTGCTCAGATTTTAACATCACGGGTAGAGTCGCAGATTGTTTCCTTGAGCGCATATTGCCGCTCCAGGGCAGAACGGTTTGGGACTCCAGTCGAGCAAGATTGGGAGTCTTGGATCCCGACGAAGCTTGGCGCATCGGCCGAGCAAATGCCAAGACAGCATAGAAAAGTTGCGACTGCCGATGAAAATACACTGATTCGTGCGGGTCTGTTCAAATGTGCTGGTGTACATGCAAAATAAGAAAAGGAGTCTGCACATTGCTTGGACAGAGGGTTGAAATAAAACTCGCTTTGGAGCAGAGGGGTGTGTGTTTAACGGCATGAGCAAAACAATAGTGTGCATGAGCGCGTGGCAGAGGTGCGTCTCCGCCCCCATCGCGTTGCTTCTGCCGCCACCATGCCGCACATACTCAGTTTTGGGTCCAAATAATTTGCTGGCGTGCAACCTTTTTTCTGGCACTATGTGACTATGGTGACTAGTAGAGAGCCTAGATTGTAGAGAGGGTTAGACTTAAATCATGGGGGGCGTGTGCAACTTAATGGCGGACGCCTCCTGCAGAGATTGACCGCAAGTGCGCATGTGCTGCATTAAGAATGTGCAATGGCGGTGAAGGCAGTACAGCAACAGTTTCAACTCTCGCCGCTGTTGCAGCATTTCTCTTCTCTACACGCATCACTTGAGAGTGCCAATTTACGTGAAATCGATTACTTTCATTAAGACAATTCATAATACCGGTCATTTTTGCTTCGTGGGGCCACAAAATTGCTTCGTTTATCAGAAATATTTGTTAAGGAATTCATTGTTGTATTTGGAGAAACACATTGCATAGGAGATTGGTCAGGACTTTTATTTTAGTTTGTTGGACAGGCGTTTTGTACTAGAGGCATTCTTTATAAAGGCATTTGGCTGTAATTGTTATAGCAAAGATGCACTCAGGTTGGAGAAGCATCCTTTTTTTAACTGCAAGTTCATCTCACAAACTTGCCATCGTAATAAGATTTAAGATCATGCTCTGAATTTAGTTCTTGATGTTCGCACCTTATACTCAGTGTATGCCGTTAATCACTCTTAACTCTTTCCTGACCATGTTCATAAACCATAGATCACCGGTGATTGATGGTTTCAAAGCACCGTCAAGAAATTGAATTTAGTCCGGAGAATTACTCTCCACCATCTTGTGAATAGCCAAAGAACTTTAGTTTCAATTTCAACGTAGCCTTGAGCTTTATCACAAGCTGGTGGGCTGTCAAAAATAGTCCTGGGAACGGTAATTGCACCTAACTGCTTGCATCAGTCTTTGTAACAAAGATGGCAATATTTACATAATTCAACTGTATTGTGGCATATTCTTTAGGCCTCAGGAGCTCTGGGGAAACTTTAAATGATGTTATACGCCTCGCAAGTGGGCTCATTTTCGTCTTCTGCGCATGAGAAAGGAAGTAGCGGTGACGTCAGAACGCCGAGTCCTGATTGGCTGATCGCGACCCCCTATTGAGCGTCGTCTGCTCCTTTGCAACGTCGTCTGCTCGCAACATCGTCTGCGTCTGTCTTACCTTTCCTGCGACTTTCGGAGCGAACTCGACTTGGCCTTTAAGGGAGGGCAGACGAAATAACTCGAGCGGTACGTTGTTTTCGTCTAACAACTAGCAGACGCGCATCAAGGAGGGAAGTCAAAGGACTCACTGGCGAGGTGTCCCGGGGCGCCGAGGTTCGTTTGCTTAGTGTCCGCAAGTTCCCTCCCAAATACTTTTTACCTCCATTCGTGTGCGGCGAGACCCCTCACTCTTTTACGGCGCCGGCGGGTTGGCGCAGTTAACGTCGTCTGCTTTACGTCTGCTAGTCAAAGCGATGGCTGCTTTACCTTTCCTGCGTCTGTCGGAGATTCGCCGCTTTTTCACCGGCGAGAGTCACCGTTGCCTCGGGAAACAAGGAGGTAACAAGAGGAAGAAATTGACCTCTTAATCTAAAATTGAGGTCAGCGATCAAAGTATAACACGGGAAGGGTTCACAAGGGTCGCGCGGGCATATTCCATTCAGCACGTCAGCCGGTCGTGGGCAGACGGTCGCCGAGTCGCGGAGTGCCTGCTAGGCCTAACTGCCCAGCTCGTTTGGTCGCGTTCGGTGGAATCGTCGCCGTTGGAGCTTTTCCCCGGTGTCTGTGGATCCAGCGTTCTTGTTCGTCGTGCTCTGTTTCAAGTAATTTTTACTTTTTTTTTGCTGCTTGAAGTCAGGACGCGTGAGAAGCTCACGTAGAAAAATAAACGTCCGTGGGTCGTCGCGACCGCGACGCTGTCGGCCATGCTGACTTGATCGTAAGAAGTGCGTAAGACAGCTTCGAAGCTGTCGTAGGATTTCGCCGTAACCTGCGCAAAACTTACGAAAATTTCGTTTCGTGAATACGAATTTGTTCATAAGTTTTGTCTTACACACATTTTTGGCGTAAGATCGTTTCGTGAATCTGGCCTCTGCACTTCCGAAAGTCGCAGGAAACGTAAGACAGACGCAGACGACGTTGCGAGCAGACGACGTTGCAAAGAAGCAGGCGACGCTCAGATAGGGGGGCTCGATCAGCCAATCAGGGCTCGGCGTTCTGACGTCACCGCTACCCCCTGCGCAAGGAGCAGACGAACTTGCCCTCCGCATACACCTTTTCCGTCTAATCTCGACCCAGCGCGTAACGTGCGTAGCCTCGACTCGGCGACTCGGCACACAGCGGGAATAGTTCTTCCGGTTCTAACACTTCCGGTATGCGGGAGCAGGCCTAGCGGGCTGGCAAGATGCTGAAGTGGTGCGCCCTTGACAGCGAAGTGAGTTGTAATAAGGTGGGTTAATACTTCGATGTATCATGTCCGCGCATATTTGGTCATCGGGCTGCCACTGCGCAGTCGTTGGCTGCAGCAGCAATTTCCGAAAACGGAAGATAGCGCGCGACAAATCGTGCACCGAACACAAGAAGATCGCAAAGCGTACGCGGCTGTAACGTATAGGTGACATTCACTTGACGTCACTCGCTAGGTGCGCTGGCATCGGCCACCACGGTCGCCAACTTCGAGGTCTGCTTTTATCCCACGTAGGTGTCAGGTGCAGTCTGGCCGGATTTTTCAGCGTGGGATAGCAACATTTTACAACTTTAAAGGGTCTTTTTGGCCGAAACTATGGGTTATTCTTAGACTTTGGTGCTTTTAAAGCGCCGTGGGAATATTTTTTGTGTGGGATTTAGTTCGTTTTTGTCGCTATCGGACTTTTCCGCCGCGGCCGCGTTGCTCCATCGGCTCCATGCAGCGCTCCGTGTCGCGCGCCGTGCCCACGGCGGTAGCTTTTTTACAAGAACTGTGATTTTATACTTTGGGGCTTTTGTAGCACGGTGTGATTACTCTTTGTTTTGTTTTGCTAGTTCCCTTATTGTTTTTTTCTCTAGCGGATTTTCTGCACTTCGGCCGTGTAACCGTGTTGCTCCATCGCCTCCGCGTCGTTCGTCGTGCCTTCGGTGTTCGTTCTGTGCACAAACATACCGTGCGGCTCACCGAGTGCGCAGCTAATGAAAAGTGCGTCGCATTTTTTATTAGCCTGAACGATTTAAAAACTGCATGCAAGTGATTTGGCGAGCGACGATAGAAGCGACGGCGACCCGCTTCGCTGTCGCTCGGTCACTCGCGCGACGAGGCAAAGAGCATGAAAGCGACGAAAGCAAACGACCAAAGCGATGAGCGATAAGTTTTCTAAAAATCTAGAAACCGAGCTACGCGACGAGCGACAGTGAAGGGTGAACCGCATGTAAGCGATTTAGCGAGCGACGGCGACAGCGACGGGAGTCGGCAACGAGCGACGGAGATTTCTCACGGTCGCTCGTCGCGTCGTTCGGTTTTTAGATTTCTGGAAATCGTCGCTCATAGCCTTGGTAGCTTGCTCCGCTTTTATATACGGTTTGCCTCGTCGCACGAGTGACCGAGCGACAGCGAAGCGGGTCGTAGTCGCTTGTCTCGTCGCCGTCGCTCGTCTTGTATCGTGGCTGGATCGCTGAATTGCTTACATGCGGTTCAGCCTTTACACACGGTATACTCGGCGGCAACAAGGGAATTAAAACGGCCCGCCCCCGAGGTAAACTGTTTTCCCTATTCTGTTCAACGAAGCTGCTTCAACGATATGAAATTAGCACACACTACCAACTGACGATCGCATACACAAGCCAATTAAACGTCAAATAGCGACATCGAAGATGGCGGATCGACGGTGGCGCTCCCTGGCAAAATCAAAAAGTCAAATTTGGGGGTTTTACGTGCCAAACCTACGACGGGCATCTGGCACGCCCCAGCGGAGGACTGAGGGTTAATTTCGACCACCTGGGGATCTTTTGACGTGCAACCGAAAGCTCGGTTACACGGCGCCTTCTCCGCAATAAGCTGGCAAAATCGAACCTGCAGGCTCAGTGAATACCACCAAAAACACTTTGCATCGCTTCCCCGCTGATATCAGCGGGGAAGCGATGCAATATCAGCACATTAAAAAGCAAATAGGCAGTATAGAAACGGACATCTACAAGTGCAGTAATAGGCCTCGACAAGTCAAATGTAGAACGAATTTTGCAGCTTGTGGTGCAAATGTAAGACCCTGGTTGTAATGATTGTTATTGGCTACTCAAGTTTTGTTTTTCATTCCGTTCATTCCTACGAGGATGTGCACTACAATTCTGTGTGTTGCTCGGTAGCGACGCCCGTTAAAATACGTTAATGGAAACAATACGAAAAGAGGGCGCAAAATTGTCGCCGTTCTCCCCCCCCCCCCCCCCCCCCCCCTCCCTTTCACCCCCATCTCCTGAATAGTTCCGACGCATCTGGTCGTCATACGAAGTAGAAATGTCCCGGTAACTAGCGATCGTACCTCGACGGTGCCCAATAACAAACCGTTCGGCCCGCGTCGCTAACTCCGATTGTGAGTATTTCTACGATTAAACGATGATACTTCTGTGCCCAGGGTCGCCCTCGCTCGCGCATAGAAACCTTCCGTTAGTCATTCGCAGAAGGCTGTCATTCTTCACAAACAACAACAGGCGAAGAGTAAACACTGGAAAACGTCCTCAGGAAAAGTGAACATGCCTCCGATTTCGATTACCGGCGACGCTGGCGACGAACCTCTCGGCGCTGTTGACGCAACAACGGGCGCCATGAAGGCGAATAAGCACGCCGGAACACAAGAATAATTCACACTTTCAATAACAAACAAATTAAGAACTCACTAAAGGGAAAACAATGAAGATACGATGCACGAGGTCAATGGGGACAACGCGGGAATTAGGAACAACGCTGCTCTCCGCATACCAAAATGGGCGCACAACAACCGTACACCAGACGGCGCGGCTGTCGCTGCAACACGCAAGATGGCGACGACTACGCGGAAAAGGTGTATAGGCTTCGCTTAACAGATGGTTGTCGATAAGCATTGCTATAATTTCCAATGCTTCCCTGAGCTGGTGTGCACATTTTATGTACCCAACAGGGCGGACAAAAATGCTAAATATGAAGGAACTGCACTCGATGCTAGAACCAAACCAAGGTAGAAACAAAGGAAGCATGGTTAAAATTGCGCACAAATAGAGAGGAACAGTGGACAGAGAAGAGACAAGCGCAAACTCACAACTTGATGTATTCAATACATCAAGTTGTAAGTTTGCACTTGTCTCTTCTCTCTTTTCTCTCCACTGTTTTTTTCTGTTTGTGCACAATTTTAACCATGTTCAATCATTACCAACTCGCCCAACTAACTTAACTACCTTACTACGAAGAAAGCATTCTGCTGTGGGCGGGAGGTGCACTATCTGTGTTTCACCAATATAGCATTCCTTCGTTGAAAAGCACACGTGTTTCGGAGGTTAACTCTCCGACGAACCAAAAACAGACAATTTCAGTTAGCCGTGGGTGTGGGCCCATTTTGTATATTCTGAAATGTTTTTTTTTTTATTTGTCGTTTACTTTGACATAGCTGTAGAAGTTTCAACATTTATGTGCCTAATGCGCATACATTGTATTTTCAAGAAATAAAATTTTATTAAATTTTTTTCACGTTATACAAACCTTTGTTTCTATTAAAGAACAACTAATTGGCCACATTTTGATGTGTCATATTGCTCCATACACAAATTAGTTCGAAAAATAAAAGTGGTGGCACAAATCCCTTGAAAATGGATACTTTTCCCGTGGTCAGGAAACAGTTAACTGAAGCACGTGTTAGTCCTAGCCTTGGCAGATTTTGGTTGTTTAATGCAGAATGTGTTTTTGGGCCAGCTTTTAAGTTTAAAGCGCCATGAGACGTTGTAACGAAAAACATGATAACACAGCAGGGTTTCTTCGCAAAAATCAGTTTGTGCCTTGACGGAAATCAAACCAACAAACTCTCGCTCAGTAGTCCGACGCTCTACCCCTGCGCTACCGGTGCCACTTTGAAGAGTGCCATTTCAGTTGCTCTATATCTACTGGAGTGGCCTTAATCCATTCCTCAATCCGTCCAGGGGCGCATGATTGACCTGATCAAGATGAAGGCCACCAACCTTGAGCGCGTCACTTTCCTGGTCCTGGACGAAGCAGACCGCATGTTCGACATGGGCTTCGGTGAGCAGTCTAATTGCGAACCGCTGGTTCTTGATCTGGAACACTCTTGTTTGAGTGAAACTGCCCGTGGCTGTTGTGAGTTAACGTAGCGCATAGCGAGGAGTTTTCACCGTGTTTCTCAATCACATCCGTTTCCTATTCTTTCTGTCTTACAGAGCCCCAAGTGCGGTCGATCTGCGATCATGTTCGGCCAGACAGACAGAGTAAGTTGTTTTTTTTTTGAGAAAGTGTTATATAGGGCAGCTTTCGGCCTCTTGTGCATTTTTGTTGTGAAAAACTTTTAAACTAATCGTCTCACTAAATTTAGCGGGAAAATATATATTGCTCCATCCAGGTATGTGTGTGTGTGTGTGTGTCCACGTGCAAGTAATCTAAGGCGAAACTAACGATCATACACTCATTAAACGAGCTGAGCGTAGATGCATTCTGCTAAGTCTGACCTAATCAATTGATTTATTTTTCTTGTTTGAAGTGGTGGGATGCCTTGTGCATACCATAGGTCATTATTCTAGAGTTGAAGAGGTCATGAATAAGACCTACTAATATCACAGTGTGTAGAATGGTGCGTGTCAACTGGTCCCATTTACTGCTTTATTTTTCTCCTCTTTTTGTTCTGTCACTGAGCATTGGGCAGCGTGCTAGAATAAACTCCGCAACGCTACAATTTTTTGAAGGGTTGTTAGGTGGGAAATAATACAGTCTAAGCTCATTACAACAGATCTGGTTACAACAGACATTTGGATATAAAATACCGATTTGTGAAGTTAAGTTGGTTTTCCTCTAGATACCATTTACTCAACTTCATATCTGCATACAACATACTCCTTTTACAACAGACCAAGATCTTGGTCAAAATGAAGGTCTGTTATACTGTAGACTGTAGACTTTTTTCCAGCAACGAGCGCTGTCTGCGGACTTGACTTTGAACTACAAATGAAGAGCAGCCCAGCTTGCCTCCGCCTGTCAGAATAGATTGGCATTGTGCTGTTGTATTTATCTTCATTGCCTTTTATGACCCATACTAGCGTATATTGGGGGGATCGGTGGCCGAGTGGGCTGAAGCGCACACCCAGCTCGACGCGCGTGGAGCGAAAGCTCGCGCTGCAGAACCCAGGGATCTTGGGTTCGAGCCCCACCCCTGCCCGTTTCGATCTGGATGAGCATCGTACCGGCGTGCGGTCGTGTATCACTACTGCGTGGTGCACGTTAAAGACCCCAGGCTAGCGGTTGTACTGCACTGGCTAAATTGCTCATCTACAGTGTAAACCAGTGTCGCCCCTACTGGCAGACCAACCTTACGCTGTATAAATCACTAAACGTCCAATTTGACTTTTGATTTGACTAGCGTATATTCAAACAAGAATGGTCAAAAAAGATGAAATATGTGCGAAGAGGTGCTGAATATCTTGGTCAACCGGAACTTTGCTCTGCAAAAATGGCGGCAGCTGGAAGCAAGGCCAGGAGAGGTTGTGTACGCACGCGCTGAAGCTTACTGTAAAACGGTCCATTAGGAAGTGGCAATATGACAGGTGGGCCTCAAATTGATGTGTATATTTAGAAGATGTGCATGTCTAAAAGATGTGTAGTGTATTTTATGCCAGGAAAACGCTGATAGTTACTGCATGGATTGTCATTGGGTTCCCCAGTGGAGGCAGAGCCTATTGTGAACCAAGCTAAGACTGTTATCATTCAGAGTTCAAAAAGTGCCTACTAATTCATAATTGGGCTCAATGACCTGCATGCTGACCTTTTGGTTCATTGAAGGCCTTACCAAGAATCTTTGAACCTTTTATTATAACTTGATTATTCTGTTGTAGAGCTGCAGTCTACTGATTCACAGAAGTAAGAAACTTCTAACGCTACATACTATCAGCTGATATCGATGTGGAAACCTTTCTACGAAATTTTCTTAATGGGTCGACTCTCTTCAGATTTGGTTCCATTTTAAGGACTTAAAGGCTGTGCTTTTTGGTTGGGGAAAATATGTCAAGATTTTTTAACCATCTTTTAGCAAAACTTTTACTATCTGCCATGAAATGCATTAATAAATAGAATGTCTTATTTTGAACAAAAATTTAATTATACTAGTATAGTCCCCTCTTATGCATAAACAAGCTTGGGAAAAGATTGGTTTATCAGTTCACGAGCGGGTAACTTTGAGCACTGCAGACTTAACCACAGGTTGTTTCCAAAAAATATTTAGTGTATCAAGATCAATTGGGGGGGCCAGTTGGTCGAACATCTAGATGGTGATTTGTAAAGCACAAATGTCTCAATGACTCCCTTCTTCTCTTCTTAGTTATTTGCGCTTTGTAAATCGCCGTCTAAATACTTAGTGTTTTTTTTACTGCAAAAGTAAACTGTGCATTGCCCAAATGCTCGTTCTCCTCCCAAAATAAACCATTAGTGGTCCTAACCAGATGCCCAAGTTTCAAAGCTAACCGTTATCTTAATGAAAAGTTTTAAGCGATTTTCTGAATTTTTTAATGGGAAAATGGCTGCCGACGGAGCCCTTGGGTACATGGAGCTGAACGGCGCCAGTTACCGAAGACAGACGAAAATGAGCCCCATTTTCTCATCGAAATTTTCAGAAAACCCCTTATGTATCACATTTTTATAAAATGGCGGTCAGTTCTGAAACTTTGACATGTGGTTTGGACCGCTAGGGTTCCATTTTTTGCGGAGAAAGAGCATTAGGCGATGCATAGCTTAATAATGCGGCGAGAAAACCCTTGTAAATTTTTTTGAGACGCCTTGTACTTCATTACACTAGGGGTCTCTGTCATAATTGGGGTTCTATATTTTCGGTAAATACCAACGAACTCCCTAAAGTACCCCCGACACGAGCCGATTTTATCGAAATGGGGGAAAACTGAAAAACCTAGAATCGGAGCTATGCTTGCATGTAAAAAACCTAAGCTTTATGAACATTTTTTTTTTTCTACTGCTCTATTTTGAGTCAACCTGGAGCTTCCACTGAAAGCTTGCAAGGCTGTTTCTCTCTTTGGGAGGCACATTCCTTGTCTCCTTTCCTCCTCTTATCGGTTCCAGAACGTTTTCAAAGTATTTAGGTCGTACACACGTTCCCTGGAGGTTGGGGAATCAAAACTTAAACATAAATCGCAATAAATGCCGATTTTCGTTTTTTTTTTTTTTTTACCAGCACCAAAAAGTGGCTTTAGTAAATGCCGAATCTGTGGGGAAAAAGAAACCCCAAGAACACTGGACCTCTAGTTATAGCAGCTCCACTTTTAACAAACGGCTCTTGCAATAAACAGATGGTGCTTCAGGGAAGACTTCTAAAAAATTCTTCCCGATAGGGAGGTTGAGGAAAAAGAAAACTTTTCGGAAACAAACTGCCAGTCACGGCGGATATCTGGGATTGTGAGAAACTTACTTATTATTCACCAACTTTTTAATTAGTGAAAATGAATGTATGGCTCCAGTTAGAGGCTTGCTGAGTGCCGTCGAAAACTCTTAAATCGGTCAATTTTAGGAAGACTTTGAGCATATGGGAAGCGGGGGGTGCGCGAAAGTTTTTGCTCGTGCAGCAAGCACAAGGCTTGGGATGCAAAAACGCTAATGATATTCTCATCATCCTCATTTTTGCGTCTCTAGTAGTGGTGCAAAACTGTCCATACTACTATCGAAAGTGGAAGCCATATGCAACTATTGATAGTAAAAATAGTATTGATAGTTGACTGTCGTGATTTTATTGACACGACAATACTATCAGTAGTTGCCTATCGAAACTATTGATAGCCGGCTATCAGTAGTGGACTATCGTAAAACTCTAAAGGGCCGACTATATTGATAGACAACTATCTTAAAGCTCTCTTGTAGTACTATAAATTGTCGACCATAGTAAAGCTATCGGTAGTATTTTTTTTATAGGCAACGAAGAATGTCGAGTCCCCCTAGGGAATGTCGGGAAACTAAAAACACAATTCCAATTAGAGACTTCCTCATAATTATCGAGAAACAACCTGAAAGCTGTTGGAATACTATCGGGAAATGGAAGAAGCCCTGTTGAGAAACTATCGACAGTAAGCTGTCGGGAAAGTATTGATAGTATACCATAGAAAAGCTATCGATAGTTGCCTCTTTACTGTCAATAGTATTATTGAAAGTACACTATAAATGGTGCATTGATAGTCAATTTATCGATAGCTCTGCATCACTAACCGCCAGCCTCGTGCCTGCTGAATGAGCGGAAACTTTAGCGCACCCGCACGCTTCCTAAAATTGACTGACTTAGAGGTTTTTGGTGATGCCTAGCAAGTTTCTAATTGGAACCGTAGGTTTATTTCCACTAATTAAAGGGAATTCTTTTGAAGTCCTTATTGAAACACCCAGTATGTAAGCCATCAAATTTGAGCAACTGCTCACTAGGTGCAAGAGCTACAGTCGCCGCCGAGGCAAGCACGGCAGGGCACCTCTAACGAATGCCCCACCTCCAGCACGCACTCGTTGCTCAGCGCCATGTCTTGGCGGCGCGCGCACACTTGAGGTTCTCAAGACGCCGTTATCAAAAGTAGGAAGCTCCTGCTGGAGGCGAGACGACCGAAAGCGCTTCCTGCCGATCTCTCGCTAGCTGCTCTTTAAAATGACGAGCATGTTTCGAAGAAGAAAAGAAACTCTGAGGTCTGTTACAAGCGGGCCACGTTGCGGGTAGTGGCCGCCCCCATGCGGGCCGCGGCGTGCTGCAGTGGTGTCTCTGGGTGGCGTCTCTCCATTCCGCAGCCTTGATGTTCAGCGCAACGTTCAAGCGCAAGGTGGAGCGCCTGGCGCGCGACGTGCTCACGGACCCGGTCAAGGTGGTGCAGGGGGACGTCGGGGAGGCCAACGAAGACGTCACGCAGATCGTGCTCGTGGTGCCCAGTGTGCCACCGACCACCAAGTGGAACTGGCTCACCAACCACCTGGTCGAATTCACCTCGGGTGCGTCGGCCTCCCTTTTACCTCGGCGTCGGCATTTTCTCGGAAATCGAAGTCGGGTTTTGCGGCGTATCGTAAAGTCCTGACGAAACGCCCGTACGTGGCGAAGAGACTTCGTATCATGATTTTTAGAAAAAGTCCCCGAGGTAAAGAAGTTTGAACTAAGAATAAATTCGCCTCCACCCAAAATAGAGCACGACTAGCTCCTGGTGACCGCTGAAGAAAATCTGTCGTCCGGGATTCGATTCCCGAACCTCTCTGAGACTAGCGTAACGATCTACCTACCGAACTCATTGGGATGGTGAAACAAAGGCAGTTGTAACGCAGAATATGGCGCAGCATTGAGCTGGGCGCAATTGTGGTGCTGCCGTTTCTGGCTCCGAAGCATCTTTGGCACCGCAACTCCGGGAACAAGAGTAAAGAGATGATGACGATACCTAGAAGGAGAAGATGAAAGAGTTGTGCCACACTGTGAATTATTTGCGCACGGTACTATATGGGAAGCGCACCAAAGCAAAAAAAGGAAAGTGCACGTTCTTGGCGGACACCAGGAGCTCGCTCGTTCAACATGTGCTAGGAGTAGAGCGCGTCGCACTAGGCTCGATCATGTGAGGTGACCCTGATCAACTCGAGCAGAACATTCGGTTGAAACTCGTGTCCAGTCGCATCAGCATTTGGCTTGCACTCATTTGTTTTTAGAGCGCAGCTCTTAGGCGCCTGTTTCTGCGTGTAGCAGCGTCTCCGTCGGCGTAATCGTCCCGCTAAATTTAGGGGGAAATCGAATTGATGTTGAGGTCACGGGACATTATTTCCCCCGCTAAATCTACCGGAGGAACTGAATTTGTTCATGTCTGACGTGACACGAAGTCATGTGACGTCATTTTCCCCACTAAATTTAGGAAGGAAACTGAATTGGTGCTGAGGTCACGCGGCATCAATTTTCCAGCTAAATTTAGCGGGGAAACTGGGAGGAGTAGGAGGGTGGGATTGTATGCAGGAAAGGGAGGGGAGAAGAAGGGGGCGGTACAGAGGAGGAGGGGGGACGGCATACCCCCCCCCCCTCCGTACCTTCCCCTGCTTTTCCTCAAGAGCTGCGCTCTAATTTCGCGTTACAGAGATTTGTAAACGTCTTTCATTTTTTCTGTCACTGGTGTGAGAGCCAAAATGGTTAGGTGCCAGCGGTACGACAGATTCTGTAATAGGTGTTGGGTGGCCAATCTTTGTGGGTGGGACAGCAAAATTTCATAAAAAAATGTGCAATGAACATTGGGGGCACACGGCATGGGAACCGATACCGCACACCGAGGCGATGGAGCATCGAATGGGACGCACAGGGGTTTTGCAGGTGGACATTAGAGCACAGAGAGCAACAGGTGCAAACTGTAGAAAGGACAGCTATACCCTCTCCTCTTCCGCTATCTTCTCCACTCTACCGTGCTACATCACGCCTTGCATGCACGCGAAATTTCAGTTAACTTTTGTCTAAAATGCAATAATGCCTCAATAAAACTTCTAAATTGTGTGCAATCGAGGAGGCATTATTTTTTACAAGGATCGCTCCGCTCACCCTAAGTGTCAGTGACCAACAGTGTCACTGAGATCCCCATGCTCGGTCTTACACTTTCCTCGTATTGATGTTGGTATGAATGCTGAACAAAAAGTGTTTTTTGGCTTAATGCAACCTGTATTGTGAGTTCACTCATTTGTCTTTGCTAGATGATGTCTGTTTTTTGATACTATACCGCTTTTAAATATAGTATTGTTTTATTATTTTATTTGTTATTGGGCCAGCATGAGTGTCATTGTAATGATTGGAACAGCGTAGGACAGCAGCCCCAAAGCTCTGTCAAGATGAATATTGTTTTAATAGCAAAAAGAGTGATTCAAATTTGCACCGGAGCATGCTCGAGTACAGCATATGAAGTGCTAGCACTCCTCTTGGAGTTTGCCGTTTTGCAAAAAAATGGGTTATATGCACTTCTTTTGTGACCGTTTTTGTTTCTGTGTCTGCGGACAGTTGGGAGTGTGCTCATCTTTGTGACGAAGAAAGCCAATGCGGAAGAACTGGCCGCCAACCTCAAGACAAAGGATCACAACGGTCAGTCCTTTTGTGGTAAAAGTTCTTCGCGTGTATCGTACGAATCATACATTCGTGATTTGGACTCTGTCATAATAAAATAAGGAAGTTGCAGCTGTCAAATTAGAGGCCCGATGCAATGGAATGTTGTTATAGCCTGTTGCAGGCTGAGCAAAGCAGAACATGCCCCTCCCACAAAGCTCTCTGCTCACCATAATTGGTTGTTTCCTCCTTTCCACTCCTCTCCAGCATCCTCTCTGCTATGTTGAAAAAGTGGATGGCTTTGTGCGAAAAGATTGTCCTACTTAACCTGCGGCAAACTATACTATAATGAGTGGGCCAACTGCACATATTTCTTTATTTTCCAATTAAAGTTGTTTTTTTCTTGTTTGTTTTTACAATTGCAGTGGCTCTCCTGCACGGAGACATGGACCAGAACGACCGAACCAAAGTGATTGCCTCCTTCAAGAAGAAGGACTTCCCTATCCTGGTGGCCACTGATGTCGCCGGTGAGAGAGGGTTGGATCGTTATAATGTTCTGCCTGATATACTATAAATTATTCGATTTCTGCGAGAACCTCATTTCTGCAGACTTCACTTGTAAAATATTTCGAAAAGTGAATCTCACGAATATATCGGCCCATTGTGCTGAACACACTGCATGTCGCTCTAGATCGGCAGCGAAACTCGAGCCCGTGAAAGTGAAGTTGTTTACTGTTCTTGGCCTTGCAGAATCTAAGGTCACAGTGTAGTAACGTTCTGTGGTTTTATACAGTCTGGATCATGGGTTCTCTGGGGAACACCTCCGGGAAACACCTAGGACAGGAGCATGAGTGCTCAAGGAACACCTCGGGGGAACAACTAGGGCTGGAGCAATGGTGCTTGCGGAGAACCTAGGAACCCAGGTGTTCCTTTGAGTACCCTCAGGGGATCCCCTAACTGCCAAATTTCCTTGACCACCCTACTGTAAAGTTTGTTTTTTTCTGTTTCAGTTTTGGCACTATCTCAGCAGATCTGAGCCATTCATTGTATCTCAAAAGTCCCGTAGGCCTCTGTACTGCACTGCTGAGACTGGGGAGGGGTCCCTCTGCCGCCAATCCAAAGGGATAGCTGTTTCTCGAGAAGGAAAAGTTTGATAATCCCTGGACTGAAGGATGTCAGGTTGGGTTTCTAGGGGCTTGGGGATATAGAAGAGAGCCATCAGACGTTAGCAAAGCACCTGAGCTTTTTAGTGTCCTTACCCTAATGTGGAGCGCTTGATTTTGACCTAAGGAAGTGGACGTGATTCCTTACTGTTTTCATTTTAAATTAACAGAGCTTGCAAACCTATCCTGTTGCTAGTTTGGGGTAAGGAGGAGAGGTGGAAGCCCCTGTCCGTTTATGGGATGTATGTGCACCGTATGACACAGTTACTGTTTACGCAATGTCAGTATTGTTTCGCATTTTAGTCGCACAAAGAGTGACAGATCCCAGTTTTTTACCACCAGTGTTGATGCTCCAGGTGAGCACACCCCACTGCATTAGTTGGTTCTAATAGGGCCATTCATTTCTAAGTGAAAAATGGTGAAAACCATCTATCACTTGCTCGTACTATAACTGTGTCGCACCCTGCACATTTGGTCACTCACCGAAATGTCAAGCTTGCTCCTGTCGGGCAGCGATTCTTTCATATTGGGCTGAGATTTCTGATAAGCATTCAAAGTTGGACACGTGGTCACTCTCTTTTTGTTACTATTATTTTTCTCTTGAAAACTCAAGGTGGTGTAATCACCGTGGTAGTACTCTTGCATGCCTGTGATGCATGGAGCGAAAGCTCGCGCTGCAGAACCTAAAGATCCTGCGCTCGATTCCTGTGTCTGCCCGTTTCGATTGGAATAAATGCACGTTCACACCAACTATATGGAGCAGTTGCGTGATGCGACTAGATCGCATCGCAAAAAAAATGAGATGGTCACAATAGCGCACGCAATGAGCGAGTTGCTCATGATTGCTTCTCGAAAACTCTTGCTCCGAGTGCCGCTGATTGGCTCAGCCGCTCCGTGACTAGATCGCGTCTCAAAAAGTCTGGTCAGCTAGCAACTGCTCAAATTACGTCGCTTTTTTTCCCGCAATGGTTGGTCTTGCGATGAAAGTTATCGCACGACTAAATCGCATTGCCGCTGTAAACACGCCTGAAGCGTTGTACTGGCGTGAATTTGTGGGCTGTTATTATGCGATGCACGTAAAAAAAAAACAGACTACCAGTGGTACTTCACTGGCCAAGCTTCTTATTTGCAGTGGAGACATTGGATGCCCCTTCAGCAGATTAACTTCTCACCGTCCAAAATTTTATGCAACCGATTGCCTAATACTACATAGTACTCATATGACTCTGCCTCTGAGAATCATAAAAAGATCTGACCTTTTCTTTGATAGCGCACGTGCGTTAAGATTAGTGTGTGCTCATTTTGGTGTCGCTGTGCAGCCCGTGGTCTGGACATCCCCCACGTGCGGACAGTCGTCAACTACGACATTGCACGAGACATCGACACCCACACGCATCGCGTCGGCAGGACTGGTCGTGCTGGTGAGTTGCGCAACTCGAGCAACCAAGCTCTCTGCGACACCATTTATGTTTTTCGTTTCCTTCCTTCTTGGCTGTGTAAAACGTTAGTCGGAACAAGTCGAGCGTGAACTCAACCTTGTCATCTAGATCAATTCCTAGTGAATCAAAGCCTTATTTGCCATGAGACACATCTTGCCAGTAAGTTTCTGTGGTCACTTTAAGATAGCAAAAGGAGGAGTGAGGTGCACATTTATAGAAAGCGATAAGCAGATTTTTTTTTATCAGGAATTTGGCATTATAGCTTTGTTAAAAAAAATTAATTCTGCCAAACAAAAATTTTAGGGTCCTCTTTCCAGCTCCTTGGCTGAATTTAATTTTTGTATCAAGTTTAGCAATATCCACCGACGAAAGGTAATATAATGACAAACCGGCTTTGGTGCAAAGTTGCAGTCTCCTGTGTCCAGCTTATTTTATGGGCTGAGTTCAATTCAATGGTATTACCTTAAAAATATTTCAAGTTGAATATGTTGTAGTATGCGCATTTCATAAAAGGCTCAAAAATTTTTAAAAAATAGTGTGGTCATGTAAAGAATAAACCCTTTTTGGGGACAAACTGTCAGTTGCAGTGGACATCAGTGATTGCAAAAAAAAACATACTAATTAGCTAAACAATAAACTAAAATTTACAGATGAATATTTTAACTAGCAAAAATAAACATAGGGTTCTATAGAGCCTTGCTAAATATCAATGAAACCATTAAATCAATTCATTTTAGAGAGATACAAGGCACGTGGAGCATTTTACGGCGCTCCTAAGAAACGCTCGATTGGAACGTATTTCTAGGTTTCAGTTTTCTATCGAAAAGCATGTTTGTGCCAGCAACCCTGCCCCCCCCTCAACTTCGCCTCCCTCGTAGGGTGGAAGGAAGAGTGGCGCACTTGCGTTGCGTGCACCACACTTCCACGCAGGAGGCTGAATTTAGAGAAGATGACCACAGTGCTTCTGGATTTGTAAGACGGGTTTGACTTTCGTGTGCCTAGCTCCTAGGGCCGTGCCAAAGGGAGTTTTAGTCGAGTCTTGCCTTACTCCAAAAGCTTGAGGCAGGGCAGGGAGGTAGGAAGCTTCTGGAGTCAACATGAGGCCACCAGAGGTAAAGCCCAAAGTGTGGAGGGTCACGCCCCCAACGATGACAAAAACCGAAGGACACTATTGGAGAAAAAGGAGAGTTGGCTTAAAGCCAACAGCTGTTTTGGTTACCCTCGGTGCCCCCCAAAGGTGACCAAAACAGCTATTGGCGCCGATTCAGCTCTTCTTTTCACCCAATAGCGTCTCTTGGTTTTGGTCACCATTGGGGGTGTGTCCCTCCACACGTCTGGCTTTGGCTCTGGTGGCGGCATGTCACCTCCAGGAGCTTCCTACCTCCATGGGTCAAGGACGGGGGTGGCGACGAACGTCATTGGTTGCTCCCACGCTGTGCAGGGGAGAAGGGTGTTGCCTACACGCTCATCACGGACAAGGAGAAAGAGTTTGCCGGCCACCTTGTGCGCAACCTGGAGGGTGCCAACCAGGCCGTGCCTCAGAGCCTCATGGACCTGGCTATGCAGGCAAAAAAATGCTTTTCCTCATTTGTTTGTTTCCTTTAAGAACTCATTAAGAGAATGTTATTGAAAGCATGATAAAACAAGAATGTAGGTGGGATTCAACTCTTTATAGCCACATGCTACTTTGTTGAAGAAATCCTTGAGTTACTTTTGGAGAACTAGTTACTTCAACATCATGATATACTAATGTAGAGCAAAATCTTAAATACAGAAGCACAAAGGACAAGGACGAAACAAGGGTACTGGCAGGACAAGTGCTTACTATCAAATGGCTGTTTATAGTTAGCGCTTAACCTATTCGTATCTTTGTTCTGTCCTTGTCCTTTGTGCTTTTGTATTTAAGATGTTTACGAAACTAGCCCATTCGTTAATTTTAATGTAGAGCAAAAGCCCTAATGTAATGCTGATCAATTTTTGTCTTAATTGGGCTACATAATGGCATATTTTGCTGCGCCTCAGAACCGCTAGGAAAAACGTAATATGAGGCTGTTATTTCCAGCTTCATATCGTTGCACAATTGTTTTCATGGTGTGCCGACTTTTATTAAAAAAACTCCATTATTCTATTCGATACACTCCACGATACTTAGTGCAAAAGAGCCATTGCCGTTTTTTTTCTGTTTTTCTCTCGGTATTAAAGGACTGTCATCAAAACTGCTATAGTGGTGGAAAGTGGTTAATTTTTATGACCGCCAGTTTTGAAGTAAAATGTGAAAAAATGCCGAAGTCGTATTTGTGCTAACAATACCGCACAGTGTAACATTAGGGTTTTACATACAGTCGTTGACCGATTTTTCGGACGCCGATGATTCAGACTTGTTTGATATTTCGGACCTAAAGTAGGAACCGTGACCTACCCGATAAAAATAGTGCATATTCATGACCAATGTTTCGGACAGCTTGAAGTTTGAAAGTTCATTTTTCGGACAAAATCATTGTGAGCAATGAGCAGGAAACACCACCAAGAAGTGGCCATTTTGGATTTTATGTCGGCTGCGCTTGGATCGGCTTGGTTTGGCAGCACTTAGTTAAATACTGCTAAGTCCTACTGCTAGGTGACGCTGTACGACTTTTTTTTCTCTAGCTGCGTGGTATTATCATCATCATTGTTGTTTCCATTTTGCTTTGTTCAATCGCCATTGCAGTCATGGACTTGCACCTCTCATCTCGATCTTGTCTCGGTGTATCGTGTTTTCGGATTAAACTGGTGTGATGTATCAAACAACCAAGCTGCCGCCCAGAACAACCAGACAGCGCGAGCCATGATCTCGAGCGGGTGCATGCGCGCGGCGCGAGCATCGGGGACTGACCTAGGCGCCATGCCAGTCCTGTCCGTCCCGTACCAGTAAAGATCTGGATGAATATAACAATTGGCGACGAGGATGAGAGGACGTCATTGCACCATCTGTTCTTCCACCGCAGCGATGTGTCGCTAAGAAGCACAGAAAGTACTCGACCATAACGCTAGAAAAGAAGGCAGCGATTCTCAAACTTACAGAAAGTTGTCGAACGCAAACAGGCAGAAGCTAAAACAAAGCGCGCAGGCATAACCTAAACCAAGGCACTATGTATGGCTTTTTTAATCTGGTGATTTTTCTGACTGCTCTATTATTGAAACGTTTTTTCGGTCTCTGCGAAGTCCGAAAAAATCAATCAGCGATTGTAATTATTTGTTGAAGAACCGACGTCGCATCATTGACACCAACCCTAAAAGTTTAATGTGACATTTAAAAAAAAAAACTGATTCTATTGTAGAAATTAAATTCTTCACTGTCTTGCCTCCTCTCGTGCCTATCGCATGCTCTCAAAATTCTTTATTTATAGCCGTCGGAGGGTCACCGTTTTTATAAAACAACCTTTGACAGCACTTCAGTGGAAGGTGTTTGCTACCCTGTAATTGGTCTGGGTTATCTTTGTCAGGACCTTGGAAAGTTGTCTCGTATGCCAGAGTTGCATAAAAGTGAACTCTTGGTGGCACCCTTCCCACAGAGCCAGTGGTTCAAGAAGTCTCGTTTCAAGCAAGACAAGGGCAAGAGGCTCAACGTCGGGGGCCACGGTCTCGGGTTCCGGACCAAGGAGCGGCCTGGCCTTGGCTCTTCCAACAGCGGCGTAAGCAAGCTCTCTCTCGTTGCCCTTCTTTTGTCTTTTTTTTTTACGGTGGTGGTCATATATGGCTCATTACCCCAGTCGATCGTTGGTGTCTGACTGTTATTGAAAGCGAATAGCTAAATATGGAGAAAACAAAATTTCCCGCCAAATTCGCTAAATTTACGTTGTCACGTGAAGAGCGTTACACACCCGTTCCTCCGCTAAATGTGGCGGAAAAATGCATGGAGCATATTTAGCAACAAAATTCCTCCGCTAAGTTTAGGAAATAAATTTTCCCGCAATCTCTTTTTAGGACGACACTTCCCGCAAATTTTGTGATGCCACGTGAACCGTGTTTCGTTGCGTTCGAGCTCGAGACTCTGTGCGAGGAGCAGACGACGCTCTCGTTCACTCTGATTGGAGGGGACCTGGCGGTTAGAAACAAAGGCAGCTAGCCTTTGCATCTACACACTATCCTTCCAATCAGATCTTGGCACTTCGGCATCATCGCATGCTCCCGTAGTATTTCCACACCGCGCGCCTCTTGGTGCCGGCCACAAGAGAGTACGCCAGACACCAGCATGAGCAGTCAATGGACAGTGCTGGCTGGCCCTTTGAACACAGATAGGATTCCGTGTTTACAGAGTTTGTTGTTGTTGTTGTTTTTTATTTGTTTTTTTACTTTTGGAGGGTGTATTTTTGGAGCTCAGTTTTTGCCGAAAATTCAGAGTTTTATCGAAGTTTATTCTTGTTTGGTTCCCAATTCTTTGAAATTCAACGTTTAATTTTGCAGCGTTTTATATTTTTCAAAAATGAAAATAAATAATATTTGTGTAGTACTCGGTGTATCCTTGATTCTAGAGAATGTGGTTGTTTCAATTAATATTTCTTCAGCTGGATTTCACATTGATGCCATTTCCATCTGCAATACTGTTGCCAGTGGAAGAAATCTCATGACAAGAGTTGCAAACGAGTGTTGCTTCGAAAAATGTCAATATCTCAAAATCAATAAAGTCCTGAAGGTAGTTGCTAAGAAGCTCATATTTATCCGACCCTGTCCATCAACCTACCCCTCGGCTGCGCAGGTTGGAGTGGTAAAGGGTGTAGTACAGTATAGACCACTTGCAACGTAACCGCTTATAGTGCAGGACCGGGTATAACGCAGCTTTTTTAAACCACCGGTTCGCCTCCCATAGAACTCCATGTAATTACATACCGCTTAAAATGCAGGCGCGCGAAGGGAAATACTGGTTATTGTGCGGTTTCTGGAGCAGCCCGCCGACCGCGCCGACCGACCGACGCAGCGAGCACGCTTCCCTGTGCGGCACTAGATAACGGCGCTAGCCGCAAGCGGCACTCGCGGGGCAAGGAGGTTGCGCGAAGATGGGGGGAGAAGCGAAGAGAGAGGCTTCAGTTGCCATAGCGACTGAGGGACGCACGCACGTGTCGTTCACATGCATGCGTCCCTCCGCTGCGTTGGAAACAACCGCAACGACAGACCAATCGCACGTCGAGGATAAGTGTTTGCGCGCATTGCATGCCGGTCGTGGGCCGGCCGGCCGGCTTTTTCTATCCGTAAACATGGCGTCGGTGGTGATCGTCGACGTAGACGGCGTGGTGGAAGCTCATCGTTCCGCGTAAAAACGCTATCCTTGACTGTGAATTTTCGTTGTGTGTCGCTATGATAACCCAGCACGTACTAGAAGGGAAGATCCACCTACTCGTGCAGCGATGTCGTGGCGGCACTTTCAAGACAGCAGAAACGCCTGTGTCGTCGTGTTTGTTTACTTCGACTACAGTGGTGCTTTCTAAGAATTTGTGTTTTCGAACATCGCCCGGATTTCTTATTTGGAGCATTTCATGCCTGTGCTCAAGTTGAGGGTATTACTGGCGCGTACCGTATAAAGGATGCGAATTTTCACTCGTTTTCATCACTGGAGAAAAGTGATTCGGGTTAGCAATCCTGAACGCTCGCAACGTCCGTCCACAACCCGCGATGCCGTTAAAAGGCTGCACCAGGCAAAAGTCACTCATTTCTATCAAAATGTGTGTCACACATGAGGCAGAAGTGTATTAGTCTGGTGAAATAAAGACTTTCCTCAAACTAAGCTTTATTTTTCATCTAATATAAAATAAATTGTTTTACAAAGGTAAGTTGTCTCATGGCATGTATTTTGGCCTGAAAAATTGATGTTTTGGTTATAGCGCGGTACCGCTTATAGTGCGGATTTTCGCGACTCCCGCGACAAACGTTATATGCGGTCTACACTGTATAGAGCTTCAACTGCCCACCCCCCTTTCGCGTTTTTATGAAATCTTTGATTAATAGCTTATAGGTGTTGCAAAAACTCAACCTCTCCTTACTTTAAGAAGCACAAATAGTGGGGCCCATACTAGAAACTGGAACAGTGGCTCTTGTCCTGACCCGAAAGTACAATGACCTGTTGTTTTGAATGAACCTTGACGAGATAAGAGGTAAGATCCTTTTTGTGAATGGTCAGAGATTTGAAAGAAAACTGGGGTGGCATTTTTTCACAACCATTGACTCTGTCCACTAACCAACCTTAAAACACTGTTGTCGTTTTTTTTTTTTTTGGCATTGGTACATTAAAGTTTGGAGTTTGTCGAATAAATCCTAGATGACAAAAATTTTACCGGCGGGTGCTTTTTGGAGTTTAACAGATTTATCTGAAAACACGGAACCCAAAGCGTAGACTATGTTTCGTAAATAGCGTAAATGAATATGTAATTGTTTTACAGGAGGCACGCTATGCTCTCGTCTTCTGGTCTCCCTCAGCCTCTCACCGTGCTGAATAGTGAACACTTTGGAGCCTTTGCAGAGTCGCTTCAGACGTTTCTCTCTTCTCCCCTCGTCCCGCGCGAGCAGCACCCCGTGGCCCAGGCCGGCCCGATGTCGGGGCTGGGCAGCTACGCCGCCAGCGTGCTGTCTGCGCCGAGGTTCGTCGCCGCTTCGGACGGCAACAAGGGAGGCGACTTCAGGAGCGGAGCCGCCTCCTCGTCACGCCACGGGGCGGGACCCCAGACGGACCGCCTGACCTCAATGAGGGCGGCGTTTTCGGTGAGAACCTCTCGGCATTTGGTTGGTTTTACGCTTTCTTCGATAGAATGTGATTTTCTTTTAAGGGAAGATGCTCCCCGGAAACACTTTTTCTTTAATATTAAACCTAAGGTTTTGAAACTTTGGTCATTGATAGAGATTTTAATGTCAATTCCAAATAGGTTCTTAGTTTTTATGTAGCTTTGTTGGTTTTTGTGTAAGAGTGTCTACAAAAACACAATATAGTGCTTTTTGTGCACAACTTTTTGATAAATAAATATATTGTTAGCACAGCCTGCAATAGCTCATGTTGCTGCTTAGGTAAGGTAGTATGTTGAAAACTACTTGAAATTCATTTATATTATCCTATATTTGTAAAAAAAATCTGGAACACCAAAAGTGTTTATCTTAGGTGCTATGAGTCAACATTTACATTTTTTGCAAAAAATATAGAAGGGATATTGAAAATTCAAATAGATATCAACATTCTACACACTCTGAAGAAGCTGTGTGGAAAATTTCATCCAAATCTAACTGTTGTAAGTATTTGAAATCTGTTGCACAATGCGTAAAAAATGCTGAAAACTACAAACGGAGAAAAATGCATTTGAAAGTTTCAAACATCTTCATTTCTCAAAAGCATGACCAAAGCACATGAAACTACTTGATAAAATAAAGCAATATGTCCCAAACACAGCAAAGTTCCTTAGAACTCTCCTGGCGCATACGTTGGCCCCTCAAGATCTTCCCGAGTGGAGTCTGTGAGACGTGCTCTCTTCACCATATTACGGCGATGTGCTCGGGCTTCAGCGGTTTGGCGGGCTGACATTTTTTTTATTCTCCTCTGGTCACGGGAGCTGCCCAGGGCGACAAGCTCTTCTGATGGCAGTACGCCAAGCTCCTGAAGCACTTGCTCAAAGCTTCCATGCCCCCTGTTATACCACAAAACAGCAATGGCAGTTGCCGTTTCCACAACAGTCCTGGAGGCAAACTTTGTCTTCGGGCATAGCAGCCAGATTTTGCTATTCAAAGACTCCGCTGCGTTTTGTGTTTTCCCTTGCAAGCAGCGGGTGAGCAGCTTTTCTTCTGTGAGACGCCTGTATATAGGCAGCAGAGCCAGCCCCTGTGCCTTTGTCAGAAGGGGAGTGTGGTCTGGTGCGGGCTCTCCGAGTGCTTCGGCCCGCCGGTGCTTACACCATGATTCCACTCCTTCGGGGCAGAACTTGTGGCTCTTGGCAGCATTTGTGGAACACGAGTGAAAGTAGGACGCCCAAATGGCACAATACATTTTCCTGACGTTGCCCCTGTTGCTGGTGATCGCTATCCGGTAGTAGTTTTGCAACTTTTGAATCTGCCCATCCTTCAACTTCTCACCACGTGGAAGAGGGGTCTTGAGCTTACGAAGTGCAGTTCCTAGGCGCTTGGCCACATGGTTTGTGCAGTCTTCCTTCGTGACAGATGTTTCGCCATACACTTTTGCCTCGGAGACTGCACTAAAAGCTTTACTGTCCCCGTCGCTTAGAAACTTGGTGAAGCGCAATGGTGTCTCCTGTGAGGGGGTCCGCGTCCATATGCGCACTGCTGCCTCTGTTTCCATTGCATGAGAGGAGCATTCTGTATTCTTCTCACAAACAGGGCCATGAAACGCTTGCCACACTTCCTCTTCTTCACTCCCGAGGTCTTGGTGCCGACTGCACGCAAGGCAGAAGTTGGAAAGTACCTCGAAATCGAGGCACAAGCCAGTGTCTACAGACACAGCTGCGCCAACGCCGTTATGGCTTTTGTGGCCCCGCTTTTGCCACGTCCCGTCGAACATAACGCCAACATCGCTGTCATCCACCATCTCCTTCGTGAAAACTCTAGCTTTCTCCATGTTTTCTGCCACGGCTTTCATGGCCGCAACATGAACTTTTTTGCCGATCGCTGCAAAGTTCTTATGATGTAATGGCACCGGCAAGCCAAGAACGGCACAAAAACGCGAGAGCTGTTCGTGCCCGATGCCAATCGCGCGCGCTGCCACCACCGCCTTGATGTTCACGGCAAAGCTGTCGCGGGAGCTCCCACTCTGATAGTCTCGGCTTCCGCTGGCGCCATCCGCAAGTTCACCAGGCACAACACGGCTCGAGGTGTGCACAGCAGAGAGTACCGATGCAGGGCACTCGGTATTCGCACAATGCAGCTCAAGAAAAGACGAAAGGCCCTTTCGTTTTTCGGTCGCTTCGCGTACCGCAAGGGTACTGGTGTAGCACATTGGGCAAGCAGCACCGCTTACCAGCACCGTAAGCGCGCTGATGTCGCATATCGCAGTACTACTCGTGGAATCCCGACCGCTTGCTGCTCTATCTTTCTCGAACAGTCCAATCTTCACCTCTGAAGCGCTGACAAAGTTCACCGCGGCGTCGATTTCGTCCGAGTGGCCGTCGCCCTCGTTAGGCCTAGCTGGCGGCGGCGGGCCAGCGCTGGTCGGGCGAGTGCTTTCCGCTGTCGTTTTCCGTTGAGGTTTGCGACGGCGTCCTCGGTACTTATTTTTCGTCCGAGACTTCCGAGCTCGGAAGTCACGCTTTGTCGGGTCGTTCATTGTGAATTCAATCAACAAAAACAAAAAGGCCAGAGAGGTTGATCGAGATGCCGTAAAATCCGAGAGCAGGAGGTAGGCTTCGCCGCAGAAACGCATCAGTCTCGGCCAATGGTGGCCTCGCTAGAGCACCACGTGATTTAAAGGTCCAGTAGCAACGCTCGAAACGGGCGCAAAAAACACGACTTTTTCATTATTTTCAGCCAAAATGCGAAACTGCGGGAGGGGCTGTCTGTAAGAAAAAGGCTTACTCAACCTCCCCAACCAAACGGCAATGGCGGACAGCGACGCATTCTCGAGATGCAGACGCTCGAAGATTGACGATGTGCGCGGAAAATAGCACTTTCTCGAGCAACCGTAGTTGAATAAAATAAACTTTTTACTAATTTGGCGTTCGAATTTTCGCATGATCTTTTGGGAAGTTGTAACTGAATGTCCAAGGATATTTTTACGGGCAAAAACTCAAAACTAAAAAGTTGCGCGAAAAACTCGCTTTTTCGACGCGCATCTCCCCTTAAGTGACAGCCTTGCGTGGGACTTCTGCGTGGAGGCCTTGCTCATTTTTGTTTGTGCTCGTTGCACTGTAACGAGGCCGTGGGAGACAGTGTCGGCAGCGGAGTGTAGCCGTTGGTTTGATGTCGTGACGCGCACGACCAATGGTGTCGCCAGGGATGCGGTTTGCAAAGTTGCACTCATACAAGGTTCACTTTTTGCTGTTAGGCTGGTCACGACACGCAGTCGAAGAGCTGCTAGACTCGTAAGTAGAGTTCAGTTTTAAAAGGGTGTAGGTGCGCTGTTGGGCTTTGGTAGATAAAGAAGAAAGGGATTGTAAATAAATCTGGCTTTTCGACAGGAAGCTATTGGGAGTGTTGCGAGCCCATGATGACCCGTAACACAGTTAACCCTTTGGGTACCAGGTTCATTTCTCGCACGTCGAATGCAAATTTCTGACCAACTCAGAAAAACTGTAACATGCTTCATGAAGTACATTTATTTATCGAAGACACGGTGACCTATGGAGTTTATTCATGTCGCCACACCTCCAACCTAGGATTATTTTTACCGAATTATACTTTCCGAGACACGGTACTATGCAAAATGGTGCTCCGGCCTCGCATCCTGGGGTCACTCCTTTCGAGTGGCTTTAACCGGCATTCTTTAAGGGGGGACATGGCTCCTTGAAACAAAAAAATGACAAAAAAAATCACATTTTTGAAATTATGTTTTTTAATATCTACAGGTATTTTCGCATCTTTTCTCAAAGTATTATCGCAAAATACGCCCTATTTATTTTGGGGTATTGATTTGAAGTATCTAAACGGAGATCCTTCCTCGGAAAAAAGTAGAAAAAAAAGGTACAATTTGACCGCCGGTAGCTCGAGAACAACGCGATAGAGGGGGGGCATCTTGGTCTCATTTGAAAGCTCCGCTCCCGCTCTTTCTTCTCCCGCATTCACGATGTTAGACGGCGATTGGCCGCCGAGAACGAAGCACAAATAAAAAACTAAATCTTGCCACGCGGTTGGCTGTTTCGGATCACGTGTGCAAATGGCGCTTTCTCATTGGCCGTTAGGGTTACGAAGCGTCTGCTCGTTGTTTCCGATCCGCTATCTTGTTCGATTCTCGTTCGCGTCTCTGACCATGTCGATCACAACAACTCCACGGAGAAAGTTTCACACAGCCCGCAAGTTCGGAAAAAAACGACAAAAGGGCCCTAGAAAGCTAATCCACGGCGCAGTTCAACTTCCCGCGAGCCTGAACGTCGATGACGAGGTGCGGGAGCCCGAACACGAAGATGTCGCATCGGCGGCGCCTTCGACATCCTGACTTCAAGCGAGCGAGTGCGGCTCGACACGGTGATTCTCAGCGCTTCCGAGATCGACGAGAGAAAAAAAAAGCCGAGGAAAAACTGAAAGAACTTTTGTCGACGTCCGCTACGACGCGGAAAGCTGCCCTGATGGCCGGCATCTCGGGCACCGATCAAGAAGCTCCCGAGAGTACAGAGAGTTTTCATCGTTGTAAGCCTCGACGTCGTGAACTCGCTTCTTCAACTCGCGAAGTGAAGCTCGTAGCGGCGATGTCGAACTCATAAAATGCGATCGCGAGTATGGACTTGCAGTAAAACTCAAGCTATGTTGCAAGATCTGCGGGGATGTCGCATTCGAGTGGAGTTCGCCGCGGGTAGCAGTAAAAATGTGTTCGTGAACGTTTTCTGCCGTTTTCTCGAAATGAACTTTTTGCGCAGTTTGCTATTTTGCGGAAGCCGTATCTCGGCCTGTACACAACCGATCTTCCTAATTCTTTCTTTCTTTGGTAGATGTATAAGTGGGGTATCCAATAAGGGGTCTAATCGCATCAACCTAGGCATCAGTATTTTTTGTTAGCACCTCCAATATAGATTGTAAAAATTAATTTATAAACGGAAAATTTCGAAATGCCGTAAAAATGTTATAAATAATCATGGAGCTTTCATTCATACCTTATTGGATTCTGTAGACCTTCTAGTTTACAGAGATATATTCCTTTTTGAGTTTTGTCTTCATAATTTTTTGGAATCTCGCCCATAAAATGTTCAAATAAAATGTTAATTTTATCAAAACTAACCAAGCTATTTTAAAACAAAGTACATAATTGTCATCAGAATGGGAATATGATTATGCTCTATAAATTTCATTTGGATTGGACCATAAATAAAAAAAAGCTCAAGAAGCAGTGTTTCCCCTTAATCTGAAAAAATACTGTCGTATACATTTTATTACCAAATTAGTTGAATACTAGTTTCCATATCGTCGTTTGCCATAAAGTGTGAGGTTGAACGACATAGATCCGCCTTTCTGGAACAACGAGAAAGCAAACTGAGTCAGAAGTCCCCTAAACAAAACTTTCAACATGCCACCAACGGGTGTTATTACAAGAAAAACTGTTGCTCTATACGTCGAAATAAAATCGACAGCCCAGTTGGGAGAGGTGGGAGCAAATTGAAACCGAAGCATGCATGAGTGTCACCTCCATGAAGTTGGCAAAACAGAAGCACACAATTTGCATGACTTTTGTTAATAGTTACGCTGATTCCGTCCGCTTTTTCGCAGTCCCAGTACAAGTCCCAGTTCACGGCGGCCACCGACACCGCCTGGAAGCTCGGCAGCCAGCAGGTCTCTCCGAGCCCCCGGCCTGGCCCCACACCCATCCCTCCCCCGTCCCACAACGTGTCCGCCTTCTGTCAGAACCCGTCCGCCTTCCCGTCCCCTCCCATGCCAGTGCGACAGCCAGAGGCTCCGAGAGAAGACCCGTCGAGCTCGAGACAACGGCGCCGCAGGTCGCGCTGGGACGACTGATCCGCACTGGGACCACCGATCCACACTGGGACGAACGACGTGCACTAGGTCGGTTGTCTCAGTGTGGAATTTCAGTTTCACTGCTGAACTGGAATTCCAGTAGCGCAGGCATGCTCCTAAGCATAACTGGGATTCAATCCACACTGGAACAACTGATCGGCAGTTGCAGGAAACCAATGCACACTCAGACAACTGATTGGCAGTTGTGTCAAGCCAATCTGCACTTGGACGATATATCCATAGTTGTGGCGAACCAATCTGCACTGGAACAACTGATTGGCCAATTGTGGCGAGCGGGTCTGCGCTGGGACAACCGATTAGCAGTTGTAGTGAACCGATCCTCACCGGAACAACCGGGTGACAGTACGGTTATATCTGCAAACTCGTCTCTACCTTTGGGGGATTTCTGTGAATTTCTCTCGTTACCCTTCTTTGATGTGTTCTTCCCAGTGTACAAAGTTTTGTTGGTGGTTCTGCAACAACCAGTTGCAAGCAGGTGTTTCTGGTTTGCAGCCTCTTGCTAAACTCGCGAAGGCATATACATTTGGGCAGTCATAAATGCCTCTGTCAATGACACATCACCTCCCTTTTCCCATAAGCATTATTGTAAGAGATTGCTTGGTATGAAAGAAATCATTTGTGATCTGTTTGAGACTGTCTCAAGTAATTTGCTGTACCGAAGAAAAGGTCTTACTCCACTTATCCTAAGTGGCAGGATTTTTGCCATTGCTAGTTATGATCTCTAAATATTTCTGAAGCAGTCTTACAATAAAATCACAAAAGTGAGTTATTTTTGTTTTGTTTTTTTCCCATTTGACGTAAAGAACCGGGGGAAAAGAAAAGAAAACTAGCATATTCTTAAAATAATGTGTTGACCATGTTTCTGTTGCACACCGATAGAACTTGCATTGCACGGACTGTGTGCCCATACTTTGCCATCACACATTCAGCGAGGCTGTGCCAAATGCACACATTTGGCATATATCCCATACTGCATTGTTAGGTCTACATGCCTTAGTGCAATGTAGTAGCTGAACTGCCTTTAAGATTAAACTTGTGTAAAACTCCTTCCCAGTTGTTCACCATCAATATTTACAAATTGCATTACTTTCATTCGTAGTTAGGGCAAAAGTATCAGTTAGTATAATACTGAAGGCTTTTATATGACAATGACTTGTTTCATAGCTAAAGCAAAAAATCTATGCATTAAAAAATTTTAGCTTTTTTTTCGTGTTTTGTTTTTATGGTTGAGTATAGCAGTTCAATCGATTTTAGTGTTCTATGCTGCGCTTTGCTGAAGAACTTCATAACACCTTTAAAGTGCAAATCTCGAAATCATAATTGTGCTTTATACCAGCAAGTTTCTGAAGCTGGTGCAATTATTTTTGATGGGAGCTCCTGTATGTAATTTGAGTTCTTTCTTGGTTTGGTCACTTAGTGGCCATCATGTGTTTAAATAGACTGACTGTAACATGGTTCTTGTTTTGTTGCAGCCTTTTGAAGTGGATGGGTGCTGTATATTTCTACCCTCAAATAAAACTTGCAAACTTGAGCAAGCATGTATCTATGGCATTGGAAGTGTTTGGGAGATTGGGGGGTATTTCCCTCCTTCCTCCGAATTGTTTAATATGCATGTCTAAAATGTAGAGGAGGGGGGGAGGTAATCACCCCATTGCCTTTTCCCCCGGTTTCGACGCCACTGTCACTGGTAAATAAAAATCCCCCCACCTTTTAAAGAAAATCTGTTATGCGCTTGGATCTGGAAAAAAAGTGTCCTCGGATGTAGACAGAGAACTCCCCATTGGTCGTGGCAAGTATGAATAAATAAAAAGGGGGCAACCAGCATGAGTCAGCCTTCCTTGGCATTATTGGATAGTGAAGTCCTGATCTCTTGTTATCATCTCTAGGCATCGTCCTTGAGGTCGTTCTAGACTTCCTCGAGGCCATCCTAGTCGTCCGAGAAATTGTCCTAGGAGTCATGCGAGGGGTTGTCCTCTAGGCGGCGTCCTAAAGATCGTCCTCTAGGTGGCGTCCTAGAGGTCATCTGAGAGGTCGTCCTAGACATCATCCTCTAAGCATCGTCCTCGAGGCCGTCCTAGAAGTCGTCCTTGAGGTCGTCCCAGACGTCCTCTAGGCATCGTGCTAGACGTCGTAAAAATAACAGCTTCGCTGTTATTTTGCACGTGAAGTGGAAAGGCTCTACAATTTTTTGTTGTTAAAAGTTTTCCAAGAAAAAACTTAAATAAGCGATGGGAATGCCCCTAATGAAATTAACAATTTGACATACTGTCGGAAAGTGACACGTTTCTATCTACACTTCGTTCTAAAGCTTTCTGTAGTGATGCTTGCCTGCTCGCTCGCGTGCTTGAGCACGCGTGATTGAGACACGAAGCCACGTGCTCGCAGCCATGCATGCGTGCTCGAGCAGGCGTGAAAGACAACCATGTGCTCGCACAACAGCGCGGTGCTGCATCACTCTGGGCACTATGCTAGCATTGATCAAATATATCCCTATAATTTCTTTTGACACCGGATCACAAAAAAAAAATTGCAAATACCTACACAACCCATAAGGTGAAACACTGCGACAGCTGAGGTGTAACGTCGGAGCCCCTAAGGTGTCATTTGGGAGCAGATGGACTGAATGAACAGTAAAGGTGAGAGCGCGCACCATAGATTCCGCATATGCGTTTTGTATTAAACTAAGTAACACACCGGACGACAATTCCATTGCGTTTTCGAATCGATGCAAGTGTATTAAGTAGAATATTTCAGCCCTCTGCGTAACAGGGGAGCGTATTTTAATGCGAAAGCAATAACTGTCCCATGGAGCAAGCCTACGTTATCAGCCGCGCCAAACGGCAGATAAATTAGTGAAGCCGCGATCTGAGGCATCCCACCTTTGAAGCCGCGCGAAAAGCCATGCAAAACTGCTAGTAAATGAAGCCGAAGATGGCCGCCGCGCGTCAGTTTTAATTAGCGCTACCCCATGGCGCTGCGTGCCCGCGCCGCCAGCGTGCCGGCAAGAAGAATCTTCGGCCACGCTCGGGCGGCAGCACGGCCGCCTGAGCGCGCCAGCCGATTCCGTGCGGCCGATGTTAGCGAGGCGCGACAACTTCACGAGGACGCGCGCAACAGCGACATTCATGGTTTCGCCAGTTTCGCATTCACAGCTCATAAGAAGTGCTTAGGTGTACCTCGAGCCTTTTTTGTACGTCGCTTTGGTACAAATAGTCACACGTGCTAAGCGAAAAGCGCTGAGTAAACGGGGACAAGGAAGTAGACAAAACGAAGGGCACTCTCAAATAAAGATTTATTGAAGCAAACACACGCTATTAATACCATATTTCTGGCTATTCGTTTAGAAGTCACTCTATCTGTAAGGTGCACGGATGGTGCACTAACACATTTGCTTTCCCCTTGCTTTCTGGTACAGAATGCACCCTAAAAGTTTCAGTTTCCTTCCTAAAAATGGGTGTAGTCGAACAGAAGACCGTTCTTTTCCCCTGTCTTTCTTCTTCAACACCGTTTCCCTGCTTTCACCACAGTATCGAGTTTACATCATGATCAACACACAGACAGGTGTTGTCCACTTTTTGTTTCTAGTCTGGGGTGTCGAAGATGTTGAAATTTAACCAACTCGCCTACAGTTTTTTTTTTTTTTTTTGGCATAATATTCAGTTTCGTTTTCGGTTATAAGTTTCCGGTGTAGAAAGCATTTTACCACAGCTTCCGGATCTCCAGAATACACGGAAAGAATAAAACACATGAAGGACGAACACAGACGCACACAGTACTTTGAAAGAACTGTGTGCGTCTGTGTTCGTCCTTCATGTGTTTTATTCTTTCTGTGTATTCTGTGGTTTTCAACGCGCTCTCCTACGTGTACTTCCGGATCTCGTTGGCAGCATTCGTGGCTTCCGCCAAGACTGGTGTGTAGCCGCTAGTAGCCGCATGTTCGTCGCGGCTGCTGAATGTTGCGCAAATCAACGTGATCTCACCGCTGTGATCATGCTTTCTGTGACCATAAAAGAACTGGTGAGTAATTTCAAAGCGAAAAAGTGTTCTCCCGTAGACATTTGCGCCGCTTGCATCAAGGAAATCAACGACTCGGGCTTTCTCAACGCCTTCGTGACTGTGCTGCCCGAGGCCGCCGAGAAACAGGCCAGAGAAAGCCACGCGCGATGGAAAAGCGGAAAACCTCGAGGCTCTCTAGACGGAGTTCCCGTCGCCGTCAAAGACAACTTCTGCATGAAAGGTGTGCGAACCACATGTGGCTCCCGAATGCTCGCGAACTTCCACCCACCGTACACCGCGACGGTCGTGGAGAGGCTACAGGGCGAAGGTGCCGTGGTCCTGGGAAAAACGAACATGGACGAATTCGGCATGGGCTCCGGTGCCACGGACTCCGCTTTCGGCCCCACCAAGAACCCGTGGAAGAACGCGGGCGAGGCAGCCGACGATTGGTACATCACCGGAGGTAGCTCGGGTGGCAGCGCGGTAGCCGTGGCTACCGGGTGTTCTTTCGGGGCGTTGGGCTCGGACACCGGTGGTTCGACGCGCAATCCTGCGTCTCGGTGCGGTGTTGTTGGACTCAAACCTACGTACGGCGCTCTGTCCAGGCACGGGCTCATTCCTTTGACCAACTCTATGGATGTTCCAGGGATTCTAGCTAAATGTGTGGATGACGCAGCCGTTCTCCTGAGTGCCACGGCTTGCGCCGACCCCAACGATTCGACGAGTGTGTCAGCGCCGGACAGTGTCCGACATTTGAAGCTGGCAGGTGAGCCTTCGCTGAAAGGTGTCAAGATCGGCGTCCCGAAAGAGTACCACTGTCCCGGAATGTGTCCCGAAGTCTTGGACCTCTGGCGTGATGTCGCGGACAGACTGGCGGCGTTGGGAGCGGTCGTGTCGTCGGTTTCGCTGCCCCATTCGCGGTACTCGACAGAATGCTACTCCGTATTAAACTGTTGCGAAGTGGCGTCCAACTTTGCCCGTTACGATGGGCTCGAGTACGGACACCGCGCGAGCGACGACTCCTCGACGGATGCCCTTTACGCCTCGTCGAGGCACGAGGGACTCAACGAAGTCGTCCGCGGAAGAATCCTGGCTGGGAACTACTTTCTGCTGCGCGCGAACTACGAGAAATATTTTACGAAGGCTCTTCAGGTGCGGCGTTTGATTAGCGACGACTTTACAAAAGTGTTTGCGTCGGGGGTGGAGCTCCTGCTCACGCCGGTGACGCTCACGGCGGCTCTTAGACATTCCGAGTGGACTTTGAAGGATAACCGAGAACGTGCGTCGGTCGAGGACTTCTGCACCCAGCCGGTCAACATGGCCGGCCTACCGGCGGTCAGCGTGCCTTGCCGTCTGTCCAGGGAGGGCCTTCCACTCAGCCTGCAGCTTGTGGGGCCGAAGTTCAGCGAAGCTGCCATGCTGGCCGCGGCAAAGAGGCTAGAACTTGAGTTGTCGTTCCCGCGGCTGGACTTGCAGTTGCATGCCCATCAAGAAAGCTATGCCACTCTCTAAGCTAGTTCGTAATAAAGTATTAAGTTAGGTTCTTTATATGTTTTGTCCTACATACTAACTCGTAAATGTAACATATGCTTCCTTTTTTAGCATTTGGAGACACCAAGCTAAGGCTGTCTTCATGAGAATTATCTTAAATGTTTGCTGGTTTGTCAGTTATGTTGCACTGTGTGCAAGCCCTTGATGCTACAAGCTTGATGAAGTGAGCTCTGAAGGCTATGAAATAAGAGTTGAATATGTGTAGGCATTTTCTGAAGTATGTACCTTTGAAGAAAACAGATGCTTATAACTTGAAATGTTGATGTGGACAAATGAACAATTATGACAAAACACAAGGGTAAGTCTTACCTCTGTGTTTTGTTGAAAATTGTTCAGCAATCTGCATTAACCATCACGAACCAACTAGCTTTACTAAAGCCCAAAATGAAACTCTTACACATTCTCATCTCAAAAAATGACAATTAGTGGGTTTGCTCCTTATGTGAAGGAGTTTTCAGCTACCCATTGACATCAAGTGCCTTCCCTGACCCAACACACTCATCGCAACACTTATGAAATTCTGGTGTGCCATGTATAGACTTTATAAGCTTACACTAATATCTTCAGACATTTAAACTAATTTAAAGTAAACATTACGGGAGGGGGAGAGAAATATCTCTCACCCCTTCACCCCCCAAATAGTTCTGACAGTTCAGACGCTGCCCAAGCTGCACAAGAACAGTGTACTAAAGAAGCGCCATTCCTTTTGAATAATTTTTTTTTTTTCATCTCTACAAGGATCACACTTTTCAGGTTTGCTGGTACAAAGTAGCAGCTCTGTCCGAGCGCAGCGGACGCTAGGAGTAATCCCAGTCAATCCAGCGTGGGGAGAGTGTCATGTGACCTTGAGCTCCTTGTGTCCCTCTGCCCAACCGGCAGGTCACGCGATTTTCTCCCGGCGCTGGATCGGCTGGGATGGCCTGTGGCGTCCACTGCGCTCAGACTGAAGGTGGAACGGAGTATAGACGCTTTGCAGCAGCTGTGCATGGGCGCCGCCATAACTGACCTTCAGTTTTTGTTTCCTCTTATTGAATTTTCTTCACTTCATCATTACCATAGCTGGCCAGGTTATGGCCATCTTAAATTCTATTGCGTCCTTCTACCCAGCATTGGCCTTTCTGGAGGCTCGGCAACAACCGTTTGAGTGGCTCGGTATCTCAATAAGACAAAAAAAAAGGTCAGAAATGGCGGCTGTAATCTGGCGCGTGTGTAAAGCGTCTATAGGTGGTTGGGGTAGCACGTAGCACAAGAAAGCCTAGGTGCCCCCCTCCCCCAAAATTGGGTTGGGGAAGGGGGGCACCCTTCCCCAACCCAATACTAGCAGGCTCACCACGTGCAAGACTGAGCAGATCTTTCCATGCCCATGTATTGCGGCGCTGAATACATCGACCAAACGGGTCGCTGCGGAAGCGACTGGCTCCGGGAGCGTCACAAAGTAGAGGACGCCGCACACGACAGTCAGCACTCGATAGACACGCAAAGACGGGAATATCGCGGCTGCGCTCCCGACTTCGCTGCCACGACTACGCTGGCAAATCTTTGTGTCCGCGCCGCGAGGGAGATTATAGAAGCCTTTCGAATGGTGACGAGCCGCAAACCATAGACGCCTCTCTTTTGCTCGTAAAGATTTCGAGGTCCCGGTGGCTCAGATGATGCCTTCTATTTCGAACTCCCCCTCTTCCAGTGCTTCCGGAGCTGTCGAAATTACCCTTGGATCTACCACGTGATTCAGTGCCTTATTCACTCTTTGCGCGCCTCTGAATTAAAGACGACGCACGCCGGTTCCTTCTCCATGGGTCCACGAATATCCGTGCGCGGGAAACCCTTGCCATGACGCAAGCACCTAGTTGCTTGACCCGGTATTTGTGTGTGACCGAGTTTTCACTTCCTCGCGCAACGCCGTAAGAAGCACCCGCGGCGAAAGCCGTGGCAATGACGTCTCTGCTCTAGATATGTCACCTCACAAAGTGTCTAAAAAAAAATAAAAAAAGCTAGTTTTTGTAATAACGAAGACTGACTACTACTGAGCCTCGCGCACAAGAGGAGAATATGGAACGTGAAGGCCTTTGAAAAACAAACTGGCTTCCTCAATTTGTACAAATTCCGTCTGACTCTGGAACGTGCGCTCTGAGACCAATCTCGTCTGAGACAAGGGAAACAAACGGGCAACGTTTTGATTTACACTGGGTTGCAGTAAACAACGACTCGAACGTGTGGTGTCCTATTGCGCTCTGCGATAATGTAACTTGCAGCTGGCTGGACTTGGCAAACGCTGTAAAGGAGTACGAAGCACTTTTCCGAGTACATGAGAGCAGATGAACGCTGGCATAGTAAGCCCGTAGTTTTAATTCTTTTAGATAGCGGTAAAAAGTTTTTTTTAAGTGGGTAGTATAGCATAGGCTATTGGTCGGCAATAGGGCATAATTTTTCCACCGATACGTTATAAATATAGTGCTTTAGAATCTTTTTTAACACTACATCGACCGGACTGCGGTGTAAGACCGACCCTAATTTAAACACACAGGCTTAATTTTACATGACCGGGTGAGTAATGACGTATAATTGGCGCTACTACGTTTATCTTTTTTTTTAAGAACATTAAAAATTATATATATATTCTGTTTTTGTGAAGAACGAGTGGTAATTATTGCTCTGTGATCATCTCGTCATTGATGAGACTGAAATGCTCTAAACAGCTAGGCGCAAATATTACACACAAACATAGCCCCGTGAGGTTTCGAGCACGATGTTTCTTGTGTCACCAGAGCTTTGCAGATGTGCTGCAAAATTCACACCTTCGTTTTATTTTGTTTTTTTCCACCTAGAATATGGCATTTTTATTTGTATCACCACCATTCTTCTTTTTTTTTTTACGCTTTGCTCCGAAGGAAGCGGTGTAAAGCAGGCGTTCAAGTAAATGAGAAGCTGTTATCTCTTTTAAGTTATTTGGTACCATCAAACGCGCATTAAACAACATGCCTTTTAAAGAAACACGCCCTTTTACAATGTATTTTTGGTTTTTGGGCGGTCGACATTGTCCCCTCGGCGGTGGCCATTATTCAGAGAAACGCAAAAAGTCACCAACAAAAAGCAGGCTTGTGAAGTTGTGTTATCTACAAATACATACACGAATGTGTGAATTTAATTATGCTTATAAAGAGTTTAGTTTCGAAGCTAATTGACTACAAAATCGCTTTAATGGAGCAGCCTCAATTTATTTCTTGTAATAAACGCGTTCTCCTTGAGCGATTGTCTTGTTCATTTCTGCTGGTTTTGTGCTTGAGAAAAAGCTAACCATGCGATGTAGCTGACGCAATCTAACGCGACTATCCAGAAACACGAGTGGCCCACGTTCCACATGTAACAACAACCATGCAGACATTTTTTTTTTTTTTAATTGGCTTTGCGAACAATTAAGGGAGCCATGGCACGTAGTCAGAATCTTGTTTCGGGGGGGGGGGGGGGGGGGGGGGGGGGGGGGCAGGGGGGGGAGGGGCGCCCATGACAAAATGCTGTATGAGGGGGAGGGTGGAGAGGAGATCCCAGCAAAATGGAAGATTTCGGGGGGGGGGGGGGGGGGGGGCGGCATGGGCCTCCCCCTGGCTACGTGCCTGCGTGGAGCTGTGATCACGCAGTTTCAATGGCAAAAGGAAAGGGCGCGTTTTAGCCATTTACGCCGAGCATTCAAACGCACCGCTGGCACTCTTCAGCGCAAGCATTCGCGAGGGAACCAAAAAATACATAAAACTAAAGAGACAATTGTGGACTGGTACAAACCATGCAAAGCTTTGATCAAAACTGTTTTGACTTTTTGCCTCTGCAGCCCACATCACTATTTGATGATGATGTAAATAAAATTGATTGATTGATTGATTGACTCAACTTCAAGTTCTGTTTTATACGCATAAAATCCCATAAAATTCAGCCTATTATTTATTTGTTTCATGAGCTGGGCTGCTCGACTTGTTCGAGATGAAAAGGATGGACACATCAGCTTGTACAGTATTATCATCAGCTATCTCGCATGTCACGTGGAACGTCTGCACCACTAGATGTTTTCACACCCTTATTAGTGGAAATTACCCGTCCCATAACTTTCTAATTCCCGTATTGTGTAACAAAACACCCAGAAGGTTGTGACTTCTTGCATCCCTAAAAATCGTGTAATTGTGCAGTACATGATTTTAAAGAGGTGTAACAGTACAGTAGAAACGGTGTAGAGAAACACCCATTGAGCAGGGCGTAATCTTTCCGAAGACCCTTTCGAAATTGTATTGGGATAAATAATTGCAAACGAGTCTAAACTTATCTGCATAACCTCACCTTATTTTTTGTTTTATCCCGAAATCATTTTTTATTGATCGTTTCATTGAGAACTTCTACACAGCACGTCCCTCCTGAGTACACAGTTCAAGCCGACAAATACACGTGACAGCGCAAAAGAAGATGGCAGTGAAAAATTCCTCACCAAACGTCGCGTTCAGTTCACGTGCAAATTTTTCAAACGAGCGTTGTTTTTAGAAAATCATGTCGGACGCACACCACTCTTTCATAACACTTCTGTAATTCCTCCGTCCTCTCGACTCAGTTTTTCTGCAGTGTCTGCTGGCGCAATAGTTCACGACGCTAAAGATTCTACACAATGTAACTTCCTTTTGTAGCATCAGCCATAAAAATGATATCGCAACCGTCTCTTCGCCGAAGTTCGCGTTAAGTCAAGGAAAAGGTGCCAATGCTAGGGCTGTAGCAAGGTTGTGCTTTATTTAGAGCTGACAGCGGAGTCCAAGTTGCTAGGCGGCTAGACGGACGGGTTACTATATTTTGCATCACGTAACTGACATTTTGGCCCACAAACCAGCAAGTGAACGCGATTACACCGATGAAAAGGAAGGGCTGGTTTACTGGTCAAGTTAGAGCATCGCCATAACAAATACTTTACTAAGGGTACACCCGCCGGCAATATGAAGGTGAACACCTTACCTGGTTTCTTGCCTGTT